AGGCCTGAGCATCTTAGCACAGACCACATGTGTCACAACCTACTCAAGACAAATGCTTTGTTATGTTCCACAGTCAATGCGGCTCTCTGCCGCTCTTCTTTTGTATATATATAGACTCCTCGCTCTCTCGCTCTCTCTCTCTTACCATCATCAACAAAAACTCTTCAACCACCTTCAACTGATTAAGAGTCTGAAGCTCGGTGCAATGCCACCATTGACAAGAGCTGGACAGGTGGGAAGAGATGATGATCAAGCGACTGCAGGAAATGGACGAGAGGAAGGATGGCTCATGCAGGTAGTCAGAATCCTCCAGTTAGCAAACCCAGCACTAACGGCAGAGGAAGCAATAGTACAGGCCATGGGTCTGGTCAACATTAGCAACCAAGCTCCACGCGGGGAGACCGAGAAGATCCCCAAGGACATATCAAGCTCCATTGCTCACATCAAGAAGCTCAGCGATAGCAATTGGCACACCTGGGAACCCACCTTTATCGACTGCCTCCAGAGAGTGCACAACGCGAAGGAAATCCTGTACAGTACTGTTGTACCCAGGAGCGAGGAATATGATGAAGACCTAGACAAGGCACTCGTGGGCCTCATCCATGCCTGCTGCGATAACAGCCCGGATAGCCGCATCGACACCTACACCATCAGAGGGGCGGATGAAGAAATTCAACTTGGCAGCACACTCTATGCCAAACTCAAGAAGGCACTAACACTAAACGACGCTGTAAAGCAAGCAGGACTGCAGGATCATATCCACACAGTGCGCTTGCACAATCGAGACGTTGTCAGGCTAGGCAAGGAACTCGATTCGATCTGGAACGATGCGGCACGCCTCAGAAAGCGTTTCGATGAGGACCTCAAGAAATCAACTCTCTATCGCTGCACGGCTCAAGATTGGTTCTATGCCAACACCATTGATGCACTGAAGACGGCCAGACCAGACTGTAAGTATGACGAAGCCTACCACGCACTTGCCAAGAAACAGCAGGATGGTGAGATCACTGGCCGTATTAGAGGAGCAGCAAGGGTCGCCACAAGCGCGGAACAGGGGAGTGCCAACCAGGCGGAGCAAGGACCCAGGGGCAGGCGTGATCCTCGCAATCCCTTGGCCCCTCCAAAGTGCTACGCTTGTGGAGGACCAAATCACATTGCTCGAAATTGCACAAACGCACCAGGCACAAGCGAACCTGTTGCCCATACGACACAAGAGGTGAACCACTAGGAACTCGGGTGCACCTTCCTAGCAGTCGACAGGGGCGAGCGATCAGCATGCGACACCTGGATCATCGATTCAGGTGCAACCCATCATATGGTAAATGATGAGAGAATGCTGCTCACCTCGACGAACAAGGTCGGCCAAATCAGTACAGCAGGGGACGAAAAGCTTCAGGTGAAGGCTATAGGAGATGCCTCCCTTCGGGTCAGTGAGGCCACCATCCAACTATTGGATGTGCTTTATGTACCGAAACTGAATGCTAATTTATTGTCCGTACAAGGCTTGATCGAGAATGGTGCATGAGTAATCTTTGACGAATTTGGAACTACCATAAAGCAGAATGATGGTACCCAAGTACAATTCAAAAGGGACAGAAGACAGGGTCACTTCAAAGTGCGAGGACAAGCACTGGCTTTGGAACTGGAGGAAACACAAGATGATGTCCCAGCGGACAACCAGAACACAGGAAAACTAGATAATGCCCCGGAGGGCAATAAGGACACGAAGCATCGAGACAGCTACCTATGGCATGAGAGGTTCAGACACCCAGGACGAGACAAAACGAGACAAATCCGGGCTCATTACCTAGGTACTGACGAGGAAATGGAACATGAGTCGAAGTGCTGTAACGCATGCAGCCAAGGAAAACAGACTTGAGCATGGATGGGCCAATCAGAGTCGGCAAGAATGGGAGCACCATTAGAGCTGGTACACGTAGACCTGATGACAGATTTCAAAGGACACGCCAACTACCACTATGCACTAGTTGCTGTGGATGACTTCTCCTCTCTAATCTATGTGGAACCACTCTGCACCAAGAGCGCTGCACTCACAGCACTGAGGAGGTGGATAGCCAGGATGGAACGGGCAACGGACAGGAAACTCAAAACACTCTGCAGCGACAATGGAGGAGAATGGTGCAGCATAGCAGCCGAAGACTGGCAAACTCAAGAGGGTTTCAAGTGGCAAAAGAGCATCCCGGGGATCAGTGTCCAAAATGGATGGGCGGAGAGAGCAATCAGGTCGGTCCAAGAAAAGATGCACTCGATGCTGATTGGTCGAGCTTGCCCCAGAGAGTTGTGGCCATATGCAATCACAGCAGCAGCACACGTGATGAACCTTACCCCATCAGCCACCAAAACCATCCCCCACGAGGCCTTTTATGGAACCACCACGCACAAGCTGGCCCAGCAGCTGCGAGTCTTCGGATGCTTGGCATGGGTTCATGTTCAACAGAAGGACCAGCAAGGCAAGTACGGGGCTAGAGCAAAGCCAGCCATCATGATTGGGTATGACGACGAACACAAAGCATGGAAGTTTTGCAACCCGGACCAGCCTGCGTCAATTCAATGGAGCAACTCAGCAACGTTCCATGAGGACAAAGGATGGAGTGATCGCCAACAAGAGGCAGTCAGGCCCGTGGTGACCGCGGAGGTCGAGGAGGAGGGTGTCACGCCAGCCATAGTGGAGGAGGAGACCAAATCAGAGGCCGCAGTGGAGGATCTCCTACCAGCCATAGACAGCACAGTAGGCGCCGCCAACACAGCAATACTGAACCTGGACCCAACGCTTGGGGAAGCAATGAATGGTGAGGACACCCAGCTCTGGAAGGAGGCAATACGAAAGGAGCTAGAAGGACTCGAGGCAATGGGGACTTGGGAGGTGGTGCACCAACCGCCAGGAGTACCACTTGTGGACTCTAAGGTTGTGCTTCGGCTGAAGCTTGACGCTGATGGTGTACCTGTTAAGCACAAGGTGCGACTGGTTGCAAGGGGCTTCACACAGAGAGAGGGGATCGACTACCAAGAAACCTTCTCTCCAGTAGCACCCCTCGGGGCAATCAGAGCCATCTTAGCACTAGCGGTGCAGAACAACTGGGAGGTACATGCTCTGGACATCACTATGGCTTACTTGAACTCCACGTTAAAGGAAGCAATCTACATGAAGCCGCCAGAAGGATCAGGAGTAGCACCCAGCAAGGTGTACAAGGTAGTCAAGGGTCTATATGGCCTAAAGCAGTCTGGTCAAGAATGGAATCAGGAGTTCGACAGGTCTTTGCGATGCATGGGATTCTTCCAGGTAGAGTGCGCTCCCTGCATCTACACCAAGGGACAGGGTGAAGATATGGCCATTGTGGTCATCTACGTCGATGATACATTAGTCATAGCACCACAGCTGGAAACGGTCCTAAAGGTTAAGAAGCAGATTGGTCAGAGATGGAAGATGGAAGATAGTGGTGAGGTCTCTCACTTCCTGGGCATCAAAATCAGTCGAGACCATGCGATGCGCACCATGACGATTGGTCAGTCAGGGTACATTGACCAAGTGCTGGCAAAGCACCTGGACAAACGTATGAAGCTGACCATGGTTCCAATGCAGAGCATACCAGAGGGAACCCTTGTTGCAAGTGCAGCACAACAGAAGGAGTATCCGGTGATTGTTGGAAAGCTGCTCTGGGTTGCCAACAGCACCCGGCCCGACCTTAGCCTTACTGTGGGTGTTCTCGCTAGGCACATGCATGAACCATCACAGGAGCATTATCAGGCAGCACAACAGGTCTTATGCTACCTCAAAAGCACAAGGCAGGTTGGATTGGTTTATAGGGCAAGTGAGTCGCAAGAGCCACTGGTCGCACACAGTGATGCAAACTGGGCGAGCGATGCCACCATACAGAGAAGGAGTACATCGGGGTCAGTGGCATTAGTGTATGGGAATCCAGTAGCCTGGAAGTCAGCGACACAAAAATGCGTGTCATTGTCTGCTGTCGAGGCAGAGTTCATTGCAGCCACGGAAGCAACATGTGAGGTGCTCTTCCTCAAGCAGCTGCTACGCTCAATTGGCATTGCCACAGGCACACCGATGGTCTACTCGGACAACACTGGTTGCATACAGGTTAGTAAGGACCCAGCACAGCACTGGAAGCTTAAGCACATCGACACCAAGTATCACTTCGTCCATAACAACATCCAAGAGGGAAGGGTGCAGATCAAGTATGTAGACACCACAAGAAACTTGGCAGACATACTCACAAAGCCCATTGGGAGACAGGCAATGCAGCAAGCAAGATCTGGGCTACACCTGCAAATACCGGCAGCAGTGTACGAAATGGGGTCCCCGAGCTATGTGACAGTGTTGAAGAACGGAGGTCACACCTTGAAACAACAGCATAATGAACAGGGTACATATACTGTTGAGGGGGGGAGTTGAAGTAGATAAAGCTACACAAAGCGTAGAGACAGTGAAGGTAGTGCTTACGGCCAAGTAAAAAGGCCTGAGCATCTTAGCATGGACCACATGTGTCACAACCTACTCAAGACAAATGCTTTGTTATGTTCCACAGTCAATGCGGCTCTCTGCCGCTCTTCTTTTGTATATATATAGACTCCTCGCTCTCTCGCTCTCTCTCTCTTACCATCATCAACAAAAACTCTTCAACCACCTTCAACTCAATTTAGCACAGGGTCCGATCTTCAGAAGCGCACCTGCGGAAATTTCTTTTGTCTGGAGGTTATCCTACTAATGTGTGGGGATTAAAGATCTAACAAATCTTCAGAAGCGCACGGGCAGCGCACGAACCGCGCACGGGCCATTGTGCAGATGCTCATGCCTCCACACTTGGCATGCGTGAGACAGTTGTCACCACGGCGGCGATCGAAGTGAGACCTTGCCTTCGCACATCATCCACCGAACGAGGCACATCGACACTTAGTCTCCGTAGGGTAACGGCAGCAACACCGCTGGAACTTCCGCCAGCGTTAACGCAGAAGAGCAAGCCAGCATGGTTGCCTCTACCGCCAAGGTGCGTCCACGGGGACGCTGCCACATGAAGGGCAACTGCGGTAAGAAGAGCGTCTTCAGTCCAGAGCTACCATGCTCAGCCGATGAGAAGGCTTCCATGCCAGAGAGAGATGCCTTTCGAGAGATGCTAGTGGCTACTTGTGGTCCTGACTTTGCCGAAGGATCCGTTTGCTGTACGCAAGCTCAGGTGGAGAGCCTATCTGCCAACCTTCAGCAAGCCGAGCCGCTCATCTCGTCCTGCCCCGCTTGTCGTAACAACTTTCGATCTCTGTTCTGCTCTTTCACCTGTTCGCCCAACCAGTCGCAGTTCGTTGACGTCGCCGAAACGCAGGAGGTGACAGGAAGTGACGGCAAACTTTCAGAGGCAGTCAAGACGGTGGAGTATTACATCGACGCAGATTGGAAGCAGAAGTTCTTTGACAGCTGCAAGGACGTAAAATTTGGCGCCAGCAATGGCTTTGCGATGGATCTGATCGGTGGTGGTGCTCGCAACCCCAACGCCTTCCTCAAGTTCCTTGGCGACGAAAAACCGCTGTTGGGATCCCCTTTCCAGATCAACTTCCCCGACTGGCGTCCGGATGCGCACCTCGACTGGGCGCCCTCAGCAACGCCGCAATCCTGGAATGATTCGCAGCTACCACCAGTACCCTTCGACAGAAACCCTAGGCAATGCAGTGATCCTGGCTTGCTGTCGCGCTGCGCTTGCGTTGATTGTCCAGACACCTGCACAGCCTTACCAGAGCTGCCAGCAAGCAATCCACCCGGCTCGTCCTCTTCTATCGGCGCAATGTCGGGCTTCACTTTTTCCCTCATCATCCTCTATGCGCTCCTTGTCTGCATCCTATGGTTCTGGAAGCCTGTACAGAAGCTTGTTCGAGGCCGTCGCGGTGCAATTGCGCTGCCTCATCGCACTAGCGGTCTGAGCCTGTTCAGCAACCAGTCCAGCGGCTTCGAACGTGTGCGAATGGACTCTGAAGACTCGCTCGATGGCGTCGAAAGCAGGCAGCAGCCCCAGTCAGCCGCTTCTGGTGGCCTCGTTGGTGCACGTGGTTTGGGACACTTTGGCGAAGAGAGCTCGGCGAGCTCCGCTCCTGATGGCACCTATCGAGGCATTGGACTGGAACGCAATGACAACCTCTCGGCGCTTGGAGCGCTTCAACCTCGCAAATATGCGCTCAATCAGCTTCTCACCCGATCCTTCTACAGGCTGGGACTCTTTTGTGCCCGCCGACCCTGGCTGACTTTCATGATAGCAGCTGTCTTTGTCGGCCTTGCCAACATCGGTTGGAAGAGCTTTGAGGTCGAGGTGGATCCTGTACATCTGTGGGTGGCACCGGGCTCGACAGCCAAGCTGCAGAAAGAAATCTTTGATCATGAGTTCGGACCTTTCTATCGACCCCAGCAGATCTTCCTCATGGACAGTCACTCGTACCAGCATCTCACCTCCTTGCGGCACAACTCGTCTTCAGAAAGCTTGAAAGCACTGCCGCCCGCTTTGTCTTGGGATCGACTGTTGTGGCTCGCAGATCTCGAGCAAGAAGTGCGAGATCTCAAAACCCCTTCTGGTGTCACGTTGCAAGACGTCTGTCTGGCTCCTGCAGGTCCTGGCACTCCATGTGTGGTACAAAGCATCCTCGGCTACTTCCAAGACGACCCTGAAGGCTATGGATTGGACGCCACCAACTGGGACCAAGGCTTAAATCAGTGTGCTAGCAACCCTGCCGAATGTCTGCCTTTGTTTGGTCAACCACTCAAGCCCAACATCGTACTTGGGGGATTGCCCGACAACTCTCAGCCCAGCAATGCTCGATCTGCTGTGATCACGTACGTGCTCAACAACAGCTTGAACAAGACGCTCCTCTATGCCGCCGAAGAGTGGGAGCAAATGCTTCTTGACCTTCTGCAAAGTGTGGCTGCTGAACCTGCCAGACGCTCGCAGGCGAAAGAGTCTGGTCTCGATCCGCATCCGCTGTCCGTGCGAAGAAAGGAGCTCGGCGTCCAGATTGCTTTCAGCACCGGCGTCAGCCTCGAAACAGAGATTGCAAGCAGCAGCAACACGGACGTTGGCATCGTCGTCCTCTCATACTTGACCATGTTCGTCTACGTAGCACTTAGCCTCGGCGGGCGAACGACTCATGGGTCAGAGCTTGACGAGGATCTCGAATCCGACTCGCCTATCGCGGAGCCGGGCTCTTATCCTCAAATGAGTGCAGCGTCGCCGCACGCTGCATCTGGTGGCTTCGTCCGACTCTTGCAGATGGCTCGTCGACCATCTCGAAGTTTCGTCAACACCTATTGCGTTTCTTCCAAGTTCACGCTGGGCCTTTTCGGTATCATAATCGTCCTCTGCTCTGTCTCGTGCGCCGTCGGTATCTTCAGTGCGATGGGCGTCAAAGTGACGCTGATCATCGCAGAAGTCATTCCATTCATGCTGCTGGCTGTCGGCGTGGACAACATCTTCCTACTCTGCAACGAGATGGACCGCCAAACGCTCCAACAGCAATCGGCTCGCCTGGGATCTGCCCAGTCGGATCCACTGACAGCTGGACCATCTGCTCCAACCATGGGAGCATCTGCACACCCGGAACAGTCTCCAACAGAAGAGATCGAAGCTCACGGCGACCTCTTCATAGATCCTCGAGTTTCAGCGAGCCAGCCAGTATGCATGTCAGTCGAAGAACGAGCGGCGCGCTGCTTGGCCCGAGTCGGTCCATCCATCTTGCTGAGCGCCACAAGCCAGATCGTAGCATTCCTACTCGGTGCCGTGGTGCCAATGCCTGCCGTGAGAAACTTCGCTCTCTACGCTGCTGGCAGCATGCTGATCGTTGCAACATTGCATTGCACCCTCTTCATTGCAGCAATGACGCTGGACGCACGTCGAGTGGAAAGTGGACGCATGGACTGCCTTCCGTGCATCAAAGCGCCTCGTCGCCCGGCAATCCAGCTGCCCGGCAATCCAGTCGCTGGGGACAAGGATGGATCTCTGGACTCCTTCATCCGATACCGTTTTGCGCCGACGCTGCTGCGGCCTGGTGTCAAGAAGCTGGTCGTCGCGGCGTTCGGCGCTGTCGCTGTCATCAGCTCCATCGGCGTTGGAAGGATCGAGATGGGCTTAGACCAGCGGCTGGCGCTTCCATCAAAGTCGTACCTGAGACCGTACTTTGACGCCATCGACGTTTTCCTAGATGTTGGCCCGCCCGTGTACTTTGTTGCTGCGGGCAAAGAGGTCTCCGAGCGTCAATGGCAGAGAGGGCTTTGCGGACGATTCACGACTTGTGATCCTTTATCGCTTGCGAACACCTTAGAGGGCGAGCGAAAAAGGCCTCAAGTCTCTTGGATTGCTGAGCCCGCCAGCAGCTGGATCGATGACTTCCTGCAATGGCTCAATCCGATCCTCGATGGCTGCTGTCGCGTCAAGACCTCGGATCCCTCTGTCTTTTGCGGTCCGCGCGATAGTCCTTTCGCTTGCCAGCCATGCTTTGAGGGTCGAGACCCGCCCTGGAACATCACGATGGACGGCTTGCCTGATGGCGAAGAGTTCTATCCTTACCTCAGGAAATGGCTCGAAAGTCCAACGGACCAGGAGTGCCCCTTGGGAGGTCAAGCAGCCTACTCTTCCGCGCTAAGCATCGCAACGGACGGCAAGACAGGAAAGGAGTACGTGCGCACTTCGCACTTCCGCACCTATTTCTCTCCTTTGAGGTCACAGTCGGACTTTATCAGTGCATTGGAGCAATCGCAGCGGATCTCGAACGACATCTCGGATCGAGTTGGCTATCGAGTCTTCCCATACAGTCTGTTCTTCATCTTCTTCGAACAGTACACCTACCTGCTGTCGATGGCGGTACAGGTACTTGGATCCGCTGCAATCGCCATCTTTGCCATCAACACCGTGCTGCTCGGTAGCTGGAGAACAGGTGCTGTCGTTACACTCAGCGTCGCCAGTGCTGTGTTCTTGGTGGCCGGAGCGATGGGCTTCTGGGGTATCCAATTCAATGCGCTGACATTGGTGAACCTCAGTGTCTGCGCTGCAATCGGTGTCGAGTTTTGCGCTCATATTGCTCGTGCCTTTATGCGTGCACCTGGAGCTCTACCACGATCGCATCCCATGTCGCAAAAGGAGCGAGACGAACGCGCATGGCTCGCTCTCACCGACGTCGGAGGCGCCGTTGTCAACGGCATCTTTTCCACCAAGCTCATCGGTGTGGGCGTGCTTATCTTGACAAAGTCGGATCTGCTCAAGCTGTACTACGCCAAGACGTGGCTCTGCTTGATCCTTGGCGGTTTGCTACACGGCCTCATCTTACTTCCAGTGCTGCTCAGCTGGCTCGGAGGTCGAGGCTGGTCAGGAGGCGAGGACGAGGCGGATGTCAAGCGTCGCCTGGCTCGTTCCGGCTCCGAATATCGGCCCATGATGGCCTCAGAGCCTCAAGGTAGCGATGAGGAGGAGCATCTGTGAAGGCAGCACAACTTGATTCGTTGAAATCTCGCTTTTGCGTGTCACATGCTATGAATGCATCTACAAGGTTCACAGTCCGATAATTGCAACATGACCCGAGCAAAGCTTGAGCAGTTGGTCCAGGCGGTGGTGGGAATGGCAGATCGATGCGAGTCAAGTTGACATTTGGGAAAAAAAAAGCTATCGTGACAAACTTCCTTGAAGGCAAAAGGCTCGACGCCATGACTTGAGCAAGGAGCTCTTAAGTTATGCAGCTTTCATCTTGCGCCTCTCTCCCTGCAGCTGTTGGGATCAATGTAAGATGGTCAGCGAGGCTTCGAAGGAGAAGGCAACCTGCTTCAGGCATGCCGGGACGAAGCTGGATACGTACCACTTTTGTTACACGATTCCAGCTATTCGCTTTTGATTGTGCTCCTTCTGGAATAGGCCCTTTGTTGGTGCCATGGATGAAGGATTGAAGCTGCTCTTGTGTGTAGCCTGGGACGTTGGTCGAAGCTGGATCGTAGCCTGGGCCGGATATGACGACTTCTTCCATTACAATGATGTGCGATTCGTGCCATCGGCAAGGCAAGCTGTTGCATATCATCAAGTAAGCACTTTTGTCAGCCATCTTGACGACCAACTGCCGTATTGAAAAAGTCTGAGGTGGTGATACTTACGTCTTGCTAAGAGCGTCAAAGATCTGCTGTCCGAGTTGAGATACGTCCTTTCCCGTTCGTGCGACTTTGGTAAGACTTTGCTTAACGGCATCCGCCTCTCTCGACTGAGCAGCCTTGAGCGATACCGGGTGGATAGGGGTTAGACTGTCCGCGCCCGATCTGGAGCTTGTTCCATTGGATGCTTGGGTTGATTGATGCAATCCGATTTTCTTGATCTCTGAAACCTTGACGATTGTGAAGCCGACAGCGGCGATAGGCTGGGCGAATTTGTTGCGCGAGGTTTGAGAAGCCTGGGCTACGGAAGCTGCAGCTGCTGGAGCAGATGAGAGATGAGGCGGCAGTCCCGTGGATTCGCATTCGAGTCCAACGACACCGAGACTGGGATCATAGGCCCAGAGCTTGCCAGAGAGGGTGCGGGTCTGCTTGTCGCCGACAGTGAAGGTGACGTGGGATCCGAGTAGCTTTGCGATGTTTGCTAGCTGATTGGCGGGCGTAACTGCGTTGCCTCTGCCAGCAGAAGGCGCAGAGTTGGATGCGAGCTGAGCTGCCATTGTCAAGAAGTCTGTGTATGTGCCTGACGTTGGTGTACACGAGGATGGTCGAATGATGCAATGGTGGGCAGGAACAAGTTGACAAGATGCGCGAACCGTGCGCAATAAACACTCACACAAACCCAATTTCCGGTTTCCGAATTCCGGTTTCCGAATTCCTAGTTCCGATCACCGATCACCGATCACCGATCACCGATCACCGATCACCGATCACCGATCACCGATCACCGATCGCCGATCGTGCTCTTTCCGACTCCACTTATCTAGATTTGAGTTTTTCTTGTTTTAGCTGAGCTTTCACGAAATGCAGATCAACATACAAACCGTTCTTGATCTTGCCTTCCTTCTCTCACCATCCCGTCTTGCTTGCGTACCACAGTGAGATCGCCGAGCTCGATAAGGTCCATAGGACAGCTTCTGTCAGGATGCCGTCGTCATCCACCTCGCTCCACGCCCGTGCGCCGCCAAGTTCCTCACGCGACGACCACGACTGCTCAGACCACAAGCGCCAACATCGATCCGACATCGACGACCACCGCAGGAGCAAAGACCGAGATACTTCATCCAACCGTCGCAAACGGCATCGTGAAGATGATGATCGCGACCGTCGCCGCAGCAGCAAACATTCTCAGAACTCTCGATCGCATCGCGATGATGACCGCCGAGACAAATCGGATCGCGAACATCGTCGCAAAGACCGCGACCGAGACCATGGCAGCTCAAGTCATTTGAGGCATGACAGCGATAGGCATCAAAACCACAGGGATCGCTCTTTGAAGCGACGCGAGACTTCGGAAGAGCGTCGCATCCGCAAAGCCGCCAAGCGATCCGAGAAGCTCAAGCAGCTCGAAGAGAGTTTCATTGACCAAGAGGAAGAAGAGGGTGCCGCACAGCGTACAGCAGTGGCTGAGCTAATGATGTATTCTGCCGAGGACAATCCCTTCAACGACCCCACTTTGGGTCAGAAGTTTAAGTGGGGCAAGAAGGAAGAGAAGGAGCGAAAGCAAGGCCTGTCTCGCGAAGAAGCAGAGAAGCGCGATGCACAACGCAGGCAAGAAGCCATGGCTGAAATCGAAAAGCTCAACGCAAAGCGTGCTGAGCGAGAGAAGCAGGCTGCATTGCGTGAGGAGGAGGAGGCCAGAATGGCACGTCTCGCCGAATCAGCACAGATGGCAAGCTGGGTTGCAAAGGAAGACGACTTCCACCTCGAACAAGCGCAGCGTCGTGCCGTGATCCGTGTCAAAGAGAACCGCGCCAAACCCATCGATCTTCTCAGCATCAACCTCAAATGGGCCGATCCGAACATCATCGCCGAACAAGAACACAAGCACGACGACGACGACGACGACGAAGCAGGTCTCGAGATCGACCTTGAGGAGCCCTACACCATTTTTGAGGATCTAACAATCCAAGAGACTGAGGAGTTGCATCAGGATATTCAGATGTATTTGGAGCTCGAGAAGAACGATTCGCATCGGGACTTTTGGAGATCCATGCTTATCGTTTGCGATGACAAGCTCGAGGAGCTCAAAGAAGAGCAAGATCGCAGCAAAGGCGGCGCTGCAAGTGTGCACTTGCGGCAGGATCCGGAAGAAAGAGGACGCATCAACAGCATGCTTGAGCCAAAGTCGACAGACGAGTTGCAGCAGCTTCAGGATCAAGTACGAGCCAAGTTGGCATCGGGAGAGCCTGTTGATGTCGAGTATTGGGAGAGGGTGCTCAAGTCGATTGTTGTCTGGCGGGCCAAGGCTCGGTTGGGAGTTTTACACGAAGCTGTGCTGTCGAATCGACTCGAATACCTGCGACGAAAGCAGCGCGATGAGGCGGTACGACAACAGCAAGAGCTTTTCATCCAGACGGGCGAGGACTCTGTAGACGAGCAGCAGGAAGCGCTGGATGCTCAAGACACAGCGAAAGCAAAAGCCAATGCAGAAGAAGCAGCTCTCGAAGCGCTTTACGATCCCGACGAGATGGAACCCGCGGCCATCGACCCCTCTCGTCTGAGCTACGAAGACGGTCGTCTAGCCATCAAGACCCTTGGCGAAGACCTTTCAGAGCTTGTCGCCGCACGTCGCCGTGTCACGGACGAAATCTTCATCCCCAAGACTCGCTACAACGATCTCGACCGATGCTCCTCCTTCAACCCGGCGGACCGCATGTTCATCCAAGAAGCCAGCAAAGCTCTCGACGTCACGGAAGAAATCATGCCTACCGACGAAGCGCTCACCCATGAAACGTATCAATGGCAGGACAAGTATCGTCCGCGCAAACCGCGCTTCTTGAATCGTGTCCATACCGGGTTCGATTGGAACAAGTACAATCAGACACATTACGACTCGGACAATCCACCACCGAAAACGGTGCAGGGTTACAAGTTCAACATCTTCTATCCGGATTTGATCGACAAGAACGTAGCTCCGACGTACAAGGTGGTGAAGGAGAAGGGAGAGGAGCAGACGGTGTTGTTGAGGTTTAGTGCCGGTCCGCCGTATGAGGATGTTGCGTTTAGGATTGTGAATAGAGAGTGGGAGTATAGTCATAAGAGAGGTTTTAGGAATACTTTTGATAGAGGCCTTTTGCAGTTGCATTTTAACTTTAAGCGCTTGAGGTATCGCAAGTGATGCTCGACCATCTTCCAGTCGGGTTGCAATCCATTCTCATCACTCGTCCATGTGTGCCAGTGAAGCGTTGTCATGTGTCTTTGCACCATCAACATTGTTGTGTTTGTGTTGAGCATCATTGATATTTCCACAGACTGATTTTGCCGTCTCTTCCGCCAGCTGCTAGGATAAGCTCTGTGTTTTTTGCTGTTACCTGTCCACTCTCCCGCTCATCTTTCTCCTCATCCTCCTCATCCTCATCCTCATCCTCATCCTCATCCTCATCCTCATCCTCTTGGTCTTGCTGTTGGTCTTCATCATCATCGTCCTCTCTGATTTTAACATAAGCAAAGGCCAGACACTCAACAGTATCCGTGTGGTAGTGCAAGCTTGACAACTGCTCGATTTGCGTGTTTTCCACACTGTACACTCTTATTCTACGCTCAAGCCAAAGCGACAAAAAAAGGTAGAGTTAACAATGAAACTCTCGACTGCAGACATGTTGTGGTGGAGGAGACTTACGAGCCATTCCAAGCCGCAAGGGCACAAGATGTACCGTTTGGAGCAATGGCTATACTTGCATGACCTGGAGTATTTGTTCTTGTCATATCTGGTGAATAGATGTCATGTTGAGAATGCAGTGAGAATCGTACAAGACGGTCGTCTGCTGCTACGCTCATACCGAAAGAAAGATGTTGGGATATGTCGAGGCAGGTTAGTGGTTCGCTGTGACATCTTTTTTGCCATAGCAGGCTTCCGGAGAGAGTCCATTTTTTTAGCCATCCGTCTTCGTAGCCTGCGATAACTGTGTTCGATGTGAGATGTAGACTCATTACGATTGGAAGACGGAAAGCTGAAGGAGAAATATCTGCCTTTCCTATGGCTTCGTGTGTTCTAATACCAGTGTTGATGTCTATAACATCTATGTAAGCTGCATCCAGAGTGTTTGGAAGAGCTACGAAACCCTTTCTATAAGAGCATTTGGAAAAATTCAATCCATTAACAGCTATCATTCTCACACATTCCGGCTGCCTCTCCTCAACCCCGCGGACCCCACTTCCGAACCAAGAGGAACTGCAACTCGAACTCGGCAGTTTCCAGAGCTTCAGAGTATTATCCCTCGAATGAGTCAGCAGGCAAGTTCTCGAAAGAATGACGACGGTAAGGATAGAATCGGTGTGAGCTTTCCATTTGAACCTCGGTCGAAAGTTGGTCAGGTCGGACAGCGAGACAAGTCCGCAATCGTCTCCGGCAGCGAGCATGTTGAGGGAGGGATGCGATGAGAGCGATCGGATGGCAGTTGATCCGTGGTGACGAATTATCCAGTACGGTTTTGCCATCCTTTCCTTTCGGTGGGGGGGAGAAGGCAAGGCACAGCAGCAAAGTGTCGAGTGAGAACAAGGTAAAAAGCATTCTGAACAAACGCTGGTTCGGTAAAACAAGGCAAAAATTGTACCCCGAGATCCGAGATTTGTTCTATCCCCGAGATCCGAGATTGGTTTCGAAAATCCAGCCTCCACATAATCCACGTGATCCAGTTCAACAATGTCAGTTCAAATATGTGAGTTCTCTTCCGATCTCACATTCCTGCCACCTTGGTTCACTCAGAACTAACAAGTGTCCTCATCTCGCACCTTCTCATCCCCATTATGAGGCGAGCAACAAAGCTACAAATCGAAGCGGTGGGTGGAGAAAGATGGATTGCACAAGCACTTGTATCCCTACCATCCCAACCTCGTCCAACCGAAGATGGTAGGAGCAGGTCGAGGTGAGAAGAGAGATACAAAGCGAATCAGAGATTGGCCTGTTGAAGCATGTAGAGACCAACGAGGCGGTGGAGCTCAACAACAAGTGCGAGAAGGAGCGCAACAAAGGTGGATCCCAACGCAATCGAGAAAGGAAATCATGATCATCTTCTAAGCAAAGTGGCGCGTTTTCGTCGATAACGTGCCGTCTTACTTCCACCCAGCGCCCGCACCCCTAGCACCGCCCCTACTCATAACAGGCAAAAGACCGATACTCCTTGCTCTTCTAACCGCCTTACCCACCTGTCTTTGACTCTTCCTTGTCAAACCAGTGCTCGATCTGGGTAAGATTTTGCCCATTTCTGACACGTAGTTAACCAGGATCGCTGCATTTTTATATGTGTCGTCGTTCAAACTTGCTTTGGCTGGGTTGAGTCCATTTTGATAGATGAGATCTTGAGACATGGCTTCTTTTTTAGTAGGGCCGAGCAGGGGTCGGGCTAAGCGAGGTGCTCGTTGTGTGATAGAGTTAAGGCTGAGCGTGGAGGGGTTGTAGTAGTGGCCGTTCATGAACGCTCGGCCGGAGACGGTTTGACGGGTTGAGGGAGGAGGCGTGGAAGAGCGAGGGTTGTGGATGGAAAATGCGGTGGTAGAGGCGGAGGCAGAGGCCGAGGCCGAGGCCGAGGAAGACGTAGAAGAGCGAAGTGCGGCGAGGCGTTCGATTGAGCTACTCAATTCATCCAACGGCGATGTTGAGGAGGAATTCGAGGAAGAAGAGTCGTCCAAGGTGCGACAAGTTCTCGTGAACCAACGGAGAGTGGTGCGGCCAGTGGAAGCGAAGGCGGCAGTGCGCAAAGTGGCGTTGATGAGGGATGTTGTAGCCTTCATACTGGATCTACGGAAGCCGCAAGTTGTCCGTGCTTGTACGAACGATGATCATGGTGAGAAACAAAAGCCAACATTGCAGCTTCAACAAGAGCATATTGCCAAGATCCGACATTTCTCTGATGCTCGTCACATGACGTGTCACGTGCAGCTTGCCTTTTTTATTTTTTTTTTTATTTTTATTTTTTATTTTTATTTTTTTTTTCCATTTTATTTTTCCTTTCGTGCGAGTCGTTTCTTCAGAGCCCAATCTCCTCGTCCTCACCACTTGCGTTGTTCTTCTCCCAGAAACGACTCCAATCCAACCTATGTACAACCATCATTGGCACAACAGGCAAAAGATTAGCACGGCAAAACAAGAAACGTACAAAGGCGAGACCATGAAGATCCAAATCAAAAGTGCCAAAAAATGGAGCGTGTATATGTGTATATCATCCTTGCTTGCTTGCTTGCTTGCTTGCTTGCTTGCTTGCTTGCTTGCTTGCTCCTCGGTGACCACTCTACTTTCCACTGCCATCAATACCATTCAACGCACCGTTTGCTCTTAGATGGACCATATTTTGCAAACTATACTTGCCCTTTCTACCTCTATCTTCTAAAGCTTTCTGGCTTAGTACCAACAACAACTGTTCTTTTGCCTCCTCGATTCTCCCCCTAGCTGCATATAGTCGACCCAATTCGTAATGTGCGAAATAAACCAACCAATGGTCCAGCTTCAACTGGTGTCCGTGTTGCAACACTGTCCTGAAGCTCATCTCGGCCTGTTGTACCGCTTCGTCTTGCGGAATGGGAGATTGTTTAGGCCTAACTTTCGAGTGCCTTTCTGGGCAAGCGATATACTTGAGACATACTCCGCGGAGGAAATGTGCTAAGCAGAGATCATCGTAGTATTCTTCTCCTGAAAAGTATTGACTTGCGTCTTCAACCGCGTGCAGCTCGGTGAGGGCGTCAGAGACCATGACCAGCGCTTCGTCGCAAAGCATGTAGCGTGGAGCGTTGGATAGACAGTGGTAGACGTATGCAAACTCGAGTCCTGGGAGTAGGAGTCGATTGTAAGTGGCAAACTTTTTCGATTTGCGTGCGACGAATTTCTCCATCGGGATACTCTTCCCTGCGATCTTCTGAGTGAGGTTGGGGACACGATGGAAGATTTCTCCTGCTTCCGACATGGCTTTCTGGTTGGTGCCTTGGGCGGATTCGTAAAGGTTTGCTGCACGGCCGTAGTTGTAAACTGCTTTGGACCAGTTATTTTCTTCTGCGAGAATGGCAAATTGATCGTGAGCATCTTTCCATTTGCCAAGGGACATGTTGCAGAGGCAAAGATCCCAGATGCAGATGTGTTTGAGTTGCACGTATTCCTTCTGGATGTCTCGAGCCGTCTCGAATTGGGAGATTGCTTTTTCCGCGAGTGCTTGGGTCGAGTAAAGTCGACCGGAGAAGTAGAGGAAGAAGACTCCTTCGGGATATCGGCCAAGATTGTAATGCAAAACCTTGTCAGCAAATTCAATGTCGACACCATTGACGGGGATGAAGGTGGAAATGACCAGGTGATAGGCGAGCATGGACATGTCGCAAATCTGTCGTCGAACGCCTTCTTCTTTGATGGCCATGCCAGGCTTGGTCTGACGAGGATCAGCAGACCACTGACCAGCTTTACTTAGCGTCTTCATAGCCCATGCTGTATCGCCCGTGTAGCCGAACACCTCCATGATTTTGAGAACTTTTCCTGGCACCAGGCCAAGAATCATACTGATCAGACCGTTACCCAGGTATACACCAGACTTGAAATCTTCGTCCAGCTTCTCGCCCTTGCCTTCGGCCCAATCGACGTACTTCTGCAGCGACCTGTAGATACCGTAGGCGTTACGCATGTTCAACGCCTCGCTAACAAACGCGAAGAAGTCACCTGCATACGCAATACCCAGCACTGCCTTCAACAGCACCGCTTCAGCGTAGACCAACTCGGCATGCCTCTGCACCTCGTCCATCTGCGACAAAGCCGAGGGAGACTGACCTGTACCCGTAACAAACCTGCCGAAGTTGGAAACGACACTCGTCGGTTTCCTCAACAAGTTGGCAATCGTGAGGGCGTCCTTGCAGAGCGAAATGGCAATTGCCAAATCAGCCGGTTCGAACGTCATGAAACCTTTGATGGTCGCAATCAGCGCATAACCCAAAGCGTAGTAAAGACGCGAGTCGGCGTACTCTTGGATGATACATTCGGCTTCGATCATGCGCGAGTTGAGGAAGAGGTTGAGAGCTTTGCGTGCAACTTCAATGTCTTGACGCAGCTCCTGGGGGGTGATGTTGACATCGGTGGCGGTGAGTTTGGCGACACGTGCGGCCTTGTCTCGGACTGCTTGGGAGGTATCGGATCGAGCACGGGCCTCGGCGGTGGAGGAGACGGGCCCAGCACGACGTGTAGCTCCGGCTGTGCCCTTCGGTTTGTAAGGCGATCCAGTGCTGCCGTTGGTGTCGCCATTGCCGACTCTTCGAGCGGAAGAGCTAGACTTGTTGCGGCGATGACGAGCTGCACCTGCGGCTGCACGGTGACCATGCTCCTCCACCTCCCCTTCTTCTTCACCTTCAGAAATGTCGGCAAGGGGAGCATCGAAGAAGTCATCACCATCGGAGCTGTCTTGATCCGAGTCGTCCTCGTCGCTTTCTTCTTCTTCTTCATCACTGTCAGCAGCTGTAGGGGCAGGAGCAGGAGCAGGAGCAGGAGCAGGAGCAGGAGCAGGAGCACGTGTAGCAGCAGCTCCGTTCCTGCCCCTAGCAGTTCTAGCATTGCGCTGAGGCGGTTGCTCCTCCTCCTCCTCCTCCTCCTCGCTAGCACGGCCGGACTGAGCAGCAGAAGCCATACCATCCGGCTTAGCCTTTGCCGACTCAGCCTCACCACGCCCAGGCAAGCTGCGATTGGACTTGCTGCGGTTCAAAGGGAACAATGTACCAGCAGCACCTGAAGCCTTAGCAGTCGTCGACGAGAGGAAAGATTTCCTATTAGCCACATCGACAGTGGTGCTGTTGGAAGCGGGAGCGGGAGCAGCACTGACCGATCTTCTCGAACGAGCACGAGCAAGCAGACCGTCTGCCTTAGCAAATGGATCGGGAGCATTGGGAGACTTTTCCATTGTCTTTACATCCGCAGGAGGCGCAGAGTACGCATCGCCGTTCGGCTCGAGGGGAGCAGGGATAGTCTGGCTAGCTGATCTGCTGAATTTGCGACTTCTGCCCGATCCAGCACCACCACCGCTGACGGCACTGCTGGCACCGATGGCCTTATATCCGTCCACCGAAGGCTTTGCCACGGCTGGAACCGTAGAAGGATACTCTGCAGGTAGAGCAGGAACAGGAGGAACAGGTGACATCTGTTTAGGCTCGTCGTAGAGGCTATCGCGGATACTGGCCGAGCTGCTACGCGATTTGAGGTTGGGCATCTTGAGACTCATCTTGCGCGAAACTGAGCTGAAACGTCGCAAACGACCGCTCCCAGTGCCTCCATTGGTGAACGAGGTCGCAGAAGTGTCGGCGGCTTCTGGAGCGGCGAGATTGGTTTGAGAAAAGTTGCGAGAACGGTTTCGGATAAGATTGACAAAGCTGTTTCCAGAAGATGCACGACGGGAATCGATGGAACGGGCATCGCTCTGTGAGAGGTTAGAGCTGCTCTTTTTGAGAGCCAAGCTTGCAGCTGAGGAAACGCGCGTTCGATCATTTCCAGCGTTGGCAAGACCAGCTGCAAGGTAGCCGCTATCATCAGCGCCACGGGAGCCGGGAAGGACGTAGCTTCCGTCCCCGGCCATGGAGCGAGAGGGAGAGGCAGGCATGCGATGGCTCTTGCGAGAAGCCATCGAGTTGCTGCGAGAAGCACGTCCCTTGACGCTCGCTGGCTGGAGACTTGCAGCATCGCCATCGGCGTTTTGACGGCGGAGAACGGCATCCGTGTTGGAGAACGGGATAGGATGAACGTGCTCGGAAGCATGATCGGCATCGATGTCGCCAGCACCGCCGTTGGAAAAGCCGTCATGTTTGAGAGAATTGGCCTTGATACCAGCCAAAATGCTCTTGCGACTGCCCGAGAGAGAGAAACGGGATGGACTATCGCTGTTCATCCTGAGTACAGCAGCACCGGCCATGTCGACACAGCAACGGGCGATCGAATCTTTGTGTCTCCAGGAAGATCAAGCGACGCTGGCCGACTTGGATGGATGCGACCTCGATCCTTGGGATTGGATTCTTGGGGGGATCCAAGGTTGGTTGTGGTTGGTGAGCAGAAAGGTAGCGAGCAACCAGACGACGTTTTGCTGTCTTGACTAGTGCCAGAAGGTGATGGTCCGTGCGTGCGGGTGGATTTGCGAGCTGAATTTCTCTAATTTCAAATCAGAAAAGCGTGTAATTGGCTGAAATGCTGATCCAATTGAAATTTGAATACCTCCGCTTTCAGAATGACTTTTACCCCGCCCCCGCAAATTGGAACCGATGGAGATCAGTCGGCCGATACAGAAATCGAGAGAGAAGTCATGTTAGATTTCGGATGCGCACGCCATGTCACGTGCAGCAAAGAAAACGAAAGTTGCATATGAAAGCTCACCGCGCCGCCCAACTTGACGGGACGCGCTTTGTTGTTGACCGGTAAAGATGAAATCAAACCTTCCCCTCCTCATACGAGTCGCAATTGGCACATATGCCACATGCCACATGCCACATGCCACATGCCACATGCCACATACAGATATCCAGGTTTGTGTCCGCCTGGAGCAATGCTCATCAGGATCGGTCGAGTTTGTGGTTATACAGTCCCGATGCATACACAATCTGCACAATAGCAAAGACGACCGCCAGGCTGTCATACGGCCGGCGTAGCAAGATCGTAGCCCAGGATGTCCTGCCAATACGTCAAGTCTTTCGTATTCAAGCATGCAGCCAGACCTTCGATCGAGGTCTTGCCGATATCCGCTGCAATAGGAACGACGTTCATCCCAGGTGCTGCTACCATCGTTGTCTTATCCGCACCCAATCCGCCCGATATGCCTGTCATCCCAGTCAGAGTCAACTCGGCAAGTCCTGGCATACCTGTCTTTCCGTTGACGCCGTTGTTGTTGGTGCTCCATGAAGGAGCAATAGAACTAGCGTTGTTGGCGTTGCTAGACCAAGCGGTAGGGAACGAGGCAGATGAGGATGAGAGCGCTTGGTTCAGGTGGCTTGGTGAAGCGAGGTAGGCTGGGTGCGGTGCGATCGAGTTGCAAGAGTTCAAGCAAGCGTTGGATGCTGGTGGGGCGGCCATGGTGCTGTCTGGAGCTCCGAGCATGCTGGGTGAGCGAGGTGGCTGGTCGATAGTCTTGTTTCCGCTGGCTAGCGCACCTCCGCGCTCGTAACAAGTAACAGCGGAGGGAGGGTGGGCAGGCATGCGGTTGAGGCCGATCTCAGACCTTCCACGAGGTAGAGAAGGTGCTGTTGCTGATGCTACATCGCGGTGAGGCGGGCTGCCATCGGAAGAGGCTGCGTTTGCGACCGCCACATTGTTCCGCTCAGATGAAGCAGTGTCTTGATACGATGAAGAGTGTCCTGTACCCCACGTTGGTCGGCGAGCGCTGCTGCTGCTGCTGCTGTTGCTGCTGCTGCTACTGCTGCTGCTAAATCGCTCCACATTCCCAGCCAGACTTGCTTTCGCCTTCTCATAGCTCTGATTGAGACCAGCGTCAAAGATCGCACCTAAGAACCTCACCAGATAACCAGGTGCCTCCCTCTCCGTCTCCACCACTTCACCTGAAGCCAATCGTTGAGGCTGTGAGCACTCACGCAGAGTAGCCCTGAGATACTCGACACCGGCGACCATCGTCGAAGCATCTAGATGATCTCGGTACAAATAGAACCACTTGGTGACCTCGCTTGCCGTGATGACCAAATAGTCATGGCCAACTCTGACATAGCCCGGCTTGCAAAGATCCTGCACGAACCGGCGCAAGCACTTGATCGCCCTGTCCACCGTCTGTGAGAACCAGAACGCAGATCGAGATGTACCTTGCTGTTCAGCCCACTCGGTCCGTCTTGTATAAGGCTGCGACGCGATCTTTGCCGCCCAGTGCCAAGTCGATTGGCAGATGTAAAACTCTCGAAAGGCGTCCAGGTAAGAGATTTCGGCTACTGCTGACTTGTCCATGGGGAACCTAGGGTGGAAAGTACCCTCACGGACATCAAAGTAGCGTTTGCGCAGCATGTCAAGCCGACCTCGATATCGATCAAAGACGCCACCAAAGGCAGCAGCATCCTCTGAGCGGCTGATAAGATCAAGCAGAGGTTCTTTCTCAATCACGAGGATGGTCATGTCCAACGACCAAGCAAGACGTGAATCGACCGAGAGTCGCATGTCACCAGCTTGCTTGATCCAAGAGAAAGGATCGGGATAGTCGTCCAACGGAATGAGACGTGTTCGTGCTTTGCTGGTACGATCGTCACGTCGAACGAGCTCATGGACGAGGCAGAGCACAATCCATGTGCGTTGACGATCTCGTTCGAGACGACGTTTGTATCGCAACGTGTAGCTCTTGGATCTTGCGCAATTGCCTTGGTCCTTACCGCCTTGGCTTGCCTCGCCTGATTCAAGCCCTTCGAAAGAGGCATGCAGGCCCAGCTCGTAGGCGTAACCAATCGCACGAACTGCTTTGCGCGTGATGGTCCTGTCTCCCGGGTCCTTCCATGTGATCACGAGGATCAGCGCCTGGATGTGGTCGAGAGAACAGATCTCTTCAGCAGCCGCCAGATTGAGTATCGACTTTGCGATGCAATGACACTGTCGATGCAGCTGAGGCTGGAAGAAGCGTGAAGCGATCGAGATGATCGTCGAAAACAGAATAGGTGCCTTCTGACGACAGTGCTCGATGGTGTGCAAAGAAGCGTCGAGCAGGGCAAGGGGCGGATTGAGCTCGGAGAAGTAATAGTCGAAAAGCTCGTGGGCCTGATCCATGCTGATGACACGTTGTCGCACTGCATCCTCGTGCAAATTTGAAGCCATGGTCGGAAGCCATCGGTCCTGTTTCGCTGGAGAGGGGGAGGACGGGTTGACGGCATGCTGCGGGCGATGTAGATTGTTCTGTGCATTGCTCCATGCCACGGTCCGGTCCCAGTATGAGGGGTCGTTGGGGCTATGGCCGTTGCGACCCGCCGAAGCAGATGCGGATGGGACAGGGAGTGGTGGAAGCTCGCGACCACTGCGATCATACTGGTACAACAGATGATGATGATGATGATGATGCTGCTGCTGCTGTTGTTGTTGTTGTTGTTGCTGATGATGTTGGTGGTACTGCTGCTGACTTTGTAACGTTTGGTCGTTGTGCTGCTGGAGATGAGGTGCTATCGAGTGCGATTGCGACTGAGGTTTGCTCGGAAAGAGCGACTCCTCAAGCGAGGGAATCGGCTGAAGATAAGGACCGAACCATCTGCCATGTACAGACCCCTTCGGACTGGGCAGCTTGGGCGCTGGCTCAAAAGCTTCGTACCGACCCGACTCGCTCCTCTTGTACGATTGCTGTTGATGGCTGATAGGTGGAGTGGGCGGTGGAGGAGACTTTGATAGCTCGCGCGCTTTGACACGCACTGGCGACGTCGTAGCTTTGATCGGATACGAAGCAAAGGCACTTGCGGCGATCTCGTCCTCTTGCAGCTGATCCTCCTCACCTACACCGGTGCTGTCTGCATCGCTTCTTGGCCTCTTTTTGGGCTTTCTTCCACGGTGATGCTCCTTAAATTGGCAAACAAGATCAAGACGATTGCAACGCTTACATCGCTCATCTTGTGGGTTTGCGCGGGAGCATTTGACCTTGATAGCACGGCATTTGAGGCATGCCAGATTGGAGCCACGCTTTTCGGGTTTCTCGGTATCAAGCAGTGCACGGCGGATAGGAGTATCTGCATCGTTGCTGTTCTTGATCATGTCGATGTTGTCAGAAGGGCTTGGATTGGATGGTGGGGAGGAAGGAGAGGCGGGTGCATCGGCAGAAAGAGGACCTGCACGCGGATGACTTGGATGCGAAGCAGCGTTGGAGGAGGAGGAGGCAACACGATCAAGAAGGATGGAGCTGGAGCTCGCTTCTGGAGGAAAAGATGAATGTGGTGCAGCAGCAGCTGCTGCCGCGATTGCAGCATCGGCCAAGCTGTTCATTTTGGCACCTTGACCGATCGTTTTGGGTTGAGGGTGCGGGGGAGAGATGCGAGCTCTAGTGGCTTGCACTTGTCATTACCATCGATGAAATGAGGAGGAGGAAAGTGGAGACCGGCGACAAAGACACCGAGCGGCAGTGAAGGAGCGAGCTCGATAAGGGTGATATTGACGAAAGGCTCAGAATTAGCCGATCGGGCCAAGGTTTAGGAAGACAAGTCGGGGCGCTACTCGGTGGGTCTGGACGAGATGGAAGCTGTTGTGGGAAGTTGGATTACGGACAACTGATGGATGCTGGCAACGTCGGCTTTCGCGTGAATGATGGTTAAAAAAAAAAAAGCGAGAGAGATTGCTATGCACGGTCGCAACGCCGAGAGGAACAAGGGTTTGCCTTCCGGTGGAGTAAGGTGGGTGAAATCGACAGTCGTCCGAGTAGAAATGAAGTGTGTGCCGTCAACAACCCAAAGCCTATGCGGAGATGAAGAGGGTGAAGGGGCCGATTGGACGGTCACAAGGGGGGTGGAGTTCCAGGGAAGATGATGCGGTCGTGAAGACAAGGGATTATGGAGGTAGGATGCGATGTTGTTAGGGTTAGGGAGATCAACGGAGGATGGGGGGGAAGGGGGGGGGAGGGGGGGAAGTGTTCGACTGCGAAGAGGGAAGGGAAGGGAGGGGGAGGGAGGGGGAGGGAGAGGAGCATGTGAGAAAGTGTCACAAAGCGAGGCGATACTGTCCTTTTCCTTGCTCCATGACCGGCGCCTCCCATCGCCTCACTCTTGTTCTCTCGCTCGGCTGCGAGGGGTGGGAGGGCTACATCTTGCCCCAGGTCGCCATCAACGAGACGCTGAAAAGGGTCAAAGAGCCATGTCGCCGCCTCCGGCTGAAAGCTCTCTCGATAAGAGGTTTCTGCTGGAAGGGGAAATAATAATAGAAATGGCGACCGGCGTTTGGCCTACCCGCGCGCCGGTATATGACCTTGCCAAGGCTTGCTGTCAAATCCGCTTCGTTCCGCTTGGCTCGGCCCATCGCCACCCTCTCTTTCACACCTCGGCAGATGGAAACCTCGTTCTTCGGCATCATGCTAGACTGCGAAAGCTCTTTCTTCCAAGACGGCAGTAATTGTCCATTGATGAACATGCGATGCTCAACGAAACACTCGCTCGATGAAACGGTCGATGAAACGGATATATAAAAAATATAAAAAAAGTGTCCCAAGGGAGGGTGGACAAGATGGCTGTTGGCTGTTGGCTGTTGGCTGTTGGCTGTTGGTTCCTTCCGTCAAGAAGCCAAGTGGCGGATTCGGGGGGAAAGTTAGGAATTGTAAGCCTGAGCAGCATCCCATACAACCCGCTTCTCCTCTGTCTGGTACTGCGGACGATCGAAATCAATCGCATCCTCAATCAGTCGTCCGTTGCCACCAAAAATGCTTCCCCCTCCTCTTCCAACTCCTCCTCCGTTACTATCCAATCCCAGCATCGGCCCTCCAACAGCAGCAGGAGTACCACCAGCACTACCATCCGAGATCTCTTCTGCATTCATCACTTCCGCCTGCATCGGTTCGGCAATCTTACCCCGGGACGGACAAGTGCTGACATGTTGTCGTGAATCTCTTGCCTCGCTACCTGAGGGGACTGTTGCCATCATACGTGAGGACGAGGTTGAAGCTGGTCGTGAGTGTGACACTTGCTGTGAAAGCGGGCGAGGGAGCGAAGGAGAGGAGGTGGAGGAGGAGGTGGTGGAGACCCAGAACATTTCTTCATCCAGCTTAGGCTTGGAGGAGGTGGTTTGGGCGAGGATGGTGGATGCCGGGCGGGAGGAGGAGGTGCGGTAGGAGGAGGGGAGGAGGAGAGCTTGTTGTGCTGCTCCTGGAGGCAACGTTCCAGAGGATGCATCGAAATCGTCGATAGCCGAAGGGTGAGAGTGAGATTCGTAGTTCGGCATCGAGTAAGCATCGGCAGCAGATGATACGATCCCTGCTCTGCTGCCACTTCGACTAGCCTCTCCTGCCCCCATCGGTGCAACTGCAGTAGGAGTCGGCGATGGCTGCACACCTTGCTGTTGCTGCCTCACACCAGCATTCGCAGCAGCCAACGCAGTGGAATCCAACACTCTCTCCGCCGCCACTGAGCTCTTCCTTGGTCTCTGAGGTCTCACAACCTCAAATCCACCACCACCTTGTCTTGTGCCAGAAACATCCGCTTCCGAAGCAGGAGGCTCAAGACTCGTGTTCCCTTGCTCAGCTGTGTCTCCACCTTTCCCACCCAGTCGAGCAGCAAGACTGCTCATCGCGGCATTCATCTTGTTCCATCCTCTCCAGCGTCCACGCGAACGGTAGGCACCGATACCATCATCGGCATAGTCATCATCGTCACTGTCGCTGTCGCTACGAATACCGTTGTCTCGTTTCCAGAACTTGCCCTTTGACTTCGGGCAAGTTTGTTGTATGGGCTGACCCTCTTTGTCGACTGGCATCATTCCAGCGATGGATTGGCTCGCGCGCAGTTGGGCTCCTTGAGAGTAGCGTCCAACTGTAGCGTTGCGTGCAGCAGCTTCGGTGCTCGATAGACCTACACCCTCATCCGGCTTCTGAGCGGGCATGGACAATCGACGTTGCTGCTCATAGTACGAGTCTACGTTTCCATTTTGTGATTGAGGTCGTTGGCGATGTTGTGGTGGTAGTGCTTGGTACTGTTGGGAAGGGGGCATGCGCTCCATACTGCCGCTGCTGAGGGGTCGAGTGAGCGGTTGACCCGTACGCAAGGCTTGATAGGGTGCGGCATCTGTAGCTTTTCCTCCACCCATGCGAACGAATCCAGATTGGCTTGGTTGGGGTGGAGGTGGAGATTGTCTGCCGTTCCACTCATGCAGATGTGGCGGTGGTGGTGAGACAGGTCGACTGTTTGCTACAACTGAAGGAGGCAAGGCAGCCATAATGTATCCTTCATCATGCGGATCACCTCGCAAGTAAGTCGAGTAGGGGCTGTTGCCATTGTCCAGCATATCCGCCGGCGATCTGCGACCTTGGAACTGGCTATCCAGATAGGAAGCATACGAAGCTTGACGAGAATGCATGGGCATACGGTTCATCGACATCGCAGTCGACGGCAACGACGTGCTGAGCTTGCGTGGCGACGAAGGGACAGCAGGTGTGTTTTCACCAGTAGAGCTCTCTTTGCCCACACTTGCAAGCATCAACCTCTGTGTGTTTGACGAAGCCGGTCGATTGAGCGGCTGCTGAGTCTGCGAGAGACGCTTTCCCTTATTCTTGTTGAGCTGCAGCGTTTGCTTCTTCTGCTTGATCTTCCGAAGCGCACCACCCAAACCAGAAGTGCGGGGCGAAGCACGCTCATCCAACGAAGCACGGCCGATCAGACGTACAAGACCTTCAAGCACCTTGAAAACCAAGATCAGCGCCGCGCTGACATACAGGATCGCCTGAATAAGCAAGATCACATAGGTCAACCATGCCACTGGCTCCCGTCCAAAGTCGACCAATGGACTGAGCAGCAAGATGAGCACCGCCGTAATGATACGCAGAACGCTAGCAACAAAGCTAACCGGACCCATCATAGCACCCTCACCCCAAGGCAACCAGAGACTGCAAGCAAGCGCAAACATGATCTCGAATATCAGCAGGATGATTGCCTGTGCACTACCGCTTGCCTGACCTGCACCAATCACGAGGCCGAGCACAAAGGTTCGTGCCAAGTCGACAGCACAGAAGAGCTGCGATCCGGGACTGTAAGTGTTGTAGATCGGACCAAAAGCGGAAAGCGTGCCGATCGAGTCGTAGAGCTTAGCAGTGGCTGCACGGCTAATACAGAAGAGCGCATAGACTGGAGCCAGAATGGAGAGGAATGCAAACGCCAGCGCGGCGAGTGCGACTGATGTGGCGGAAAAGATGTCGGCATTGGCCATCTGGTGACTGGTGAAGATGGTGATAGGAAGATGGAAGAGGAAGATTGCTCTCAAAATGTTGCCGTGGAGCATGCGGAGATGAAAGGAGTTGTTGTTGGATCCAACAAGGCGTCGAGCGCTGGTACCAAGGAAGCGGTAACCGCCACGAGGACTGAGCGAGGATCTTGCTTGTTCGCTGTCTGCTTCGACCATCTCTTTTGACTCTGGGACAGCAACTGTTGCATCAGCAGCATCGAGGTTGTAGCCATCTTCACGTCGCTTTCGCAAGCGCAGCAGAGTGTCGTGAATGGAATCGACGATCCAGGCGAGCAAGGAGAGAGCAACGATGGCTGCAACAATAAAGAACCAGATCGAAAGACAAGTGCCGAAGAGATCGCGAGTTGGCAACCCCACGACGTGCGCATATGCATCCATACCAGCCCGTGCACCACCTAGATTGATGAAGCGATTGGGGACTCGCTCATTCATGTAGAGCGGGGAAGAAGTGTTGGAGAACTGAGTGCTGATATCTCCCGAAGGCAGTGTGGCGTTGGTGGTGAGCAGATCAAATTGGCTATCCAGCATGGCGGGGCGAATGATGGTGAGGTTGCCTGTGAGTGTCGACCAAGCGGCCTGCTTGAAGAATGCGTAGGAGAATTGGGGCCATCGGACTGCAATCATCGAGATGGCAGCTACGAACTGAGTGTGCATGATGATATCCCAGCATCCTGGTGTTGCGAAACGGAGAAGAGCTGCACTGAGCGCCAACTTCTGACCTGTGATAGAGGAGACGAGTGTTGGTGCGATGGTATCTTTGATGACGTTTGGCTGGCTGCCTTCCCTAGCCTTGTGCTTGAACGCCCGAGCACGCGAGGTGAGAGCGCAGAAGATCCGGCCAAGTGCAAGGAGGACAAAGTAGCCGATGGTCAAAGCTACAGGGAACCAGAAGATTAAACGCCAGTACCACTTGTCCTCAAGGTAGGGACTGGCGTGAACTTGGATACAAGCGATGTCCAGAGGTGGGCTGGAAGTGTCGCTGAGGCGAATACGAGTCCAGAGCGTGCCAAGCGTGTAGGTGTGATTGAGAGGAATGCCAACACCCAAGGAAACCTGACCAGGACCATACAAGCAGCCTGCTGGTTGAATGACAACGCCGTTTATAACAGCTCCATTCGGATCCGGAGCGAGGGGATAGAGACTATCGCAAAGATACGAGTCATTGCGGAAGACGCTGAAGGTCAAGAACTGCGTTTCCACCGAGAGCGTACTGAGCAGTTGAGGCGCGACATTGGTATTGACGGTCCTGCCTTGCGAGTTGGTGGCTCCGACAGCGACGATACGAAGCACGCCCGCGTGATACGGATGGTGGCTGGAAAGATGGTTGGTGCTGCCGAGATCGGTATCGAACTGGGTATAGACGGCAGAAATGTTGAGACGCAGATCGGCATCAACGTAGTTGACCTGATCAGCGGGACAGCCTGTGAAGTAAACATCTTTCATACGCGATGAGACTCTGCGAGAGGGATGATTTGCTTCAGCAGGGATGGGCTTTTGGAGGAGGAAAGGGACTTGAGGACCATCGAGCTGGAGTTCTGGGATGGTGGTGCTGGTAACTGCGGGGGCAGTTCGTGTGGTGGCGGCGGTGGCGATTTCAGAGGGTGCTGCAGTTTTTGATGGTGTGTTGAGAGATGCTGAGCCAGTGGTGAAGGTGACCAACTCTGTGGCGGTCTGTGCGGAGATTAAGGCGAGGTGGGTGAGGCAGACGACGAGCGACGCCAACCACGCTGATCGGAACGAGAGGGATGGGCAACGGCGACTGGAATCCATGGCTGCTATCGTGTAGATGCGGAGAGTGCCGAAGCTGTTCCGAGTCTATGCGAGATGGAAAGGCAGACAAAGTGCTGCAGCGGCGATGGTCGAGTGGCTCAGTCAGCGTTCGATGAGAGCATCAAAGGCGGTGGTATAGCGCCATGTTGTGCCAGATTGATCATGTGGCAGTGCCCTATCGTATATCAGCGGGAGGGGGATGCAACCGACTCGGGATAGTGGTAATGGAAGATGGTGCAAGCGAGATGATGATGGTGGTGAAGCAACCTGCAAAGATGTGTGTGCGAGTGTGTGTGTGAGATATGATTCTGTGCAACGGCGTTTTCTTGTGTTAAGTCGAATGAAACCAACATTTGGCAAATGTCGAAGAATGTGACTTTTTCTCCGATCTAACACTTTGCTCTTTCTGATATCCGGATCGAATATCGCGACTGGCATCGGGATGCCGATTAACAGATAGCCGATTAACAGATAGCCGATTAACAGATAGCCGACATAGTTGTCCAGCAACATCTCGGCATCATACACGTACGCACACAACGCTGGAACATATATATATATATATACTAGACTTGGTTCTCACATATCATCGCTATCTGCTCGCCATGTGAAGCCTGAAGTTCAGCACAAAGTGAGAAAAGAAAAGGGTTAGGGGAGCAATTGGTTCTGCTGAAAGTCTTCGAGAGTAGTTTCAAGGCGTATGGTGGCATCCTTGATGCCAGACGACTTGCACAAAACACCAGATCCTGTGGAATCGCAAGTGTCGATTACAACCTGCACGATGCAACAGGTACAGGGTCGTGAGTGATCGGTGAGAGCGTTCATTGCGAATCGTGCACCATCACCTAATGAAAGGCAAGCCAGTGCCAACTGTCTGCCTATACTCCTTATACTCGTCCCCAAAAAACTCCATCAACCATCTCTCCTCGGCCCTAATCCTCCTACTGAAAAACAACCAGAGTGCACCCACAAACCCTACCAACGCCACTTTGTTCCCCAACATAACCTGTGTACCCAGTGCCCAATAAGTAAAGCCGACATAGCTTGGATGTCTTGTCCAGGCATATACGCCACTCGTCACCAGCTCGTGATCTTGCCTCTTTTTATCCGCCAAGACGTGAGAGAAGTTGTTGTGCGCATGGATCATTGCCATACTTCTCAAAATCTGTCCTGCTATCACCAGCACGAGACCGAGATAGGTCAAGATAGAAGGAGTTTTTGTTGAAGGGTAGAAATATGCTGTCAGGCAGAATTCCAAAAGGGCCAAGGTATGGGCGATGTGATAGTGTATACCGTTGTTAAGGAGGAAAGAATCGGAAAAGAGACGGGTTGGGTTGTACGAGGCAGTGACGGTGAATTCGAGTATATGGAAAACGACCCAGGATGCGAGGTAGAGGGATAGTTGAGCATGTGTGTAGAACGGTTGAGAGGCGCTGTGAGCGGGTGAACATGGGTTGGTTAGCGTGGAGAGGAGCAAGCTTAGGATTCGGGGCAGGACGAGACCGAAGAGTATGCCGAGCGGGAAAGTGGTGATGCAGATTTGGAGTGCTGCGGGAGCGTATGCTGGTGGGATCGAGTATTGGATTGTGTATTTGTCGACGATCCAGCTTAGCCAGCTTTGGTGCTTTGGTGAGGCGGTCTTGCCATCTTTGTTGGTTCGAGTAGCAAGCGACGAGGAGCCAGAGGAGGGAGAGGAGCCTGCGTGGTTCTCGTCGATGCTGGAAGCACCACTACTGGACATCTTGTCGTCGAACACGGTTGAGCGAGGACTCGAATCTACCGACGAAGAGGCTGACATGGTGACGACGGATGATGACGATAAAGAGAGGTGGCAAGATAGAAAGTAAGCTTAGTCGGGGTATAAGTACTCTTTCCAGCCTACAGCGACCGATGCACTTACGCTTTTTGCGTCCCTCGGATTGCAAGTACCCGACCAGTATCAAAGGGCTTTTCGAGAAGCTTGCATGGGAATAGGGTGGCAAGTAACCATGTTCCCTTTGTGTTGGATGTAATGCGTGAGAAAGATGTCTCGAGTTTGATAGCATCCCTTTGTTCGCTCAAGAGAAAGGCAAGTGAGCGTGGGAGAAGAACTCAGGCTTCCAAGGCATCGCAACCCTAGCTCAATCGCCATTGATTGCTCCTTTCTCCTTTCCCACCTTGCCACCTTGTCACCATCGTCTTTACTATCTCGCGAATGCTATGTAGCAGAGCCATAAGTTGCCGAAGGAAGCGATCCAATATGATGATCAAAGCTGACATAAGCCTAATCGGAGATCTGGTGAAGCCGATCTGTCCAGAGATCGGGTACAACACAGTCCTTAGGGGGTATCAAAGTTTTTGCGTTTTTAAAAACCCGGATGCATCCAACCCAGTAAGTTTTGGTGATCTTCATTGCTTGCAATAGTATGCTTGGATGCTGATTCATACTTTCAATTTTAAACAGTCCTACATATCCCACATTGCCCTGTCAACAAAGTATGCTTGGTTTGAAAGGATGCATGAGATGATGAATGGCTGATTCAATGCTGATCCCACAGCACTTATCACAACTCCCCAGTCTCAACTTCACCAGCAATGATGAGCCTGACATGCCTTTGAATGGCTCAGCTGACATACTCATGGATATTTGTGGCAGTGAGCTGTATGATCACAGCACTCATGGCTGTGGTTTGCCTCCTATTCTCAACTTGATCAAACCCACCAACCCCCTGGCTGCTGTTGCATCCACTTCTGGTGCATCCTTTGCTGGCGCTGGTGATGATGACATCTTTAACACACCTTCACCTCCACCTTTGCAGGCTCAACCACCTTCCTCCACTGCTGGTGGTTTGGATGTCTCTGATTCCACCTCTTCTCAATCTTCAGCCCAGCTCTCTCCCAGCATCAAGTGCAAGCAAGGTGCCCTTGATCACAAGCACAACACACTTGCTGAAGCTTTCTATCATTCTTCCATTGATACCCTTCAGATCTGCCTGCAGCTTGAACAGGAATGCACCAGATGCGAGAAAATACTGGAGGCTGAGCATACCAAGTGCAAGGAGATGCACCTGCATCATGAGAGGGAGGAGAAAGAGTGCAATGAATGTGTTCGTGCATGTAATCGTGAAATGGTGATGGAGATGGTGCACCTCCTTGCTTCTCAGGCCAGTGTCGAACAGGATGCTTGTCAGAACACCAGCAACAACAACAACATGGACTCTTCATTCAATCTTCCTGTCTTGTAGCATTACATGTACTATCATCCAGTCTCAATGCAAAGTCATTTCTGAGTGTTTTTCTGTAGAGTGCAAGTATGAGGTGAATAAAAATGATGTGCAGCACAGTCACATAATGAGCTCAAAAGCATTTAAACAAAAATTTTCACTCTCACACCTCTTCCATTACTACCACCACTCCACTCTGCAACCTTTTGGCATCACTCTTGCTGCCATCCCCCCTCTCCATCCCCCCTCTCCATGCTCCCTCTCCAACTCCCTTCCTCCTTCCAGCCATGGTGCACTACAGTGACAAGCAAGTAATTCTCAATGACATTGTCCACACTCTCGAGCTCTCTATACCTGCAGAGGTCATCCAAAACACCAACAGAGTGCAGCACTCCTGCAGCACTGACATCAACAACTTGGACGATGATGGCAACCCAATTCCACTCTCATGACACCTTGTCTGCTTGTACACTTTCATATGCAAGCAAAGGTACACAATCACATGTTGCACTCCTCTTGGCCATGCCGATAAGCTTATCCACCTTCTCAACAGGTACAAATCAAGCAATCATAGGATGTATCCTGGACTTGTTCATATGTTGCCTGAAGCATTCAACAATCTTGCCATCTGACTCCAGCAAACAGAGGCTTTCCGGTGGAACTACAGCAGCTCAGGTGTGATGTCTCTCAACAAAGTGCAAGAGATTCTTTCAGTGGCTCTGTACAGACTCAGCCATTCTGGAAATGGAGGTGGTGAATGTGACACTGCTTTGCAATGTGGTTGCAGTGTTGGGAGCATTGTTGGATACACCAATCGCACAGTTGCTGGCCTCCTCAAGCTAAACAATGAGGTCATGCAGTTTGCTTCAGAGGAAGAGAGACAACATGCTTCTGCCTGGGTGTGCAATACAACTGGGGTTGAAGAGTGGGGTAAGGGCTGGCTTGTGGTGGATGGCACACACATCCCTCTTGCCTGGAAGCCAGGAGTGCTCAGTCAAGAGCACTTCTGCTACAAAGGCTTCCACAGCATCAATGTAGCACTGGTGATCCTGCCACACTCACTGCAGATTGTCAAATCAGTTGTTGGACAGCCTGGCAGTGTTCAGGATTCGAAGGTTTGGGCCTCAGGCAGCAATATCCTGAAGAAGCCTCACCTGTACCTTGACAAAGGTGAGTTCATCTGGGTTGATGGTGGATATGGCCATTCTGCCTTCACAGTTGGACCATTCTCTCACATTGCTGCTGACAAGAGTTGAGACCTTTGACACTTCAACTACATGCTCTCTTGAGTCCAAGTACAAGTCAAACATGCCATTGCATACCTGAAGAACTGCTTCCAGTGCCTTACAGGCTATCGTGGTAACATCTACCATTTCAAGGACCACATCACTGCTGCTGAGATGATCCAAGCCTGCATTGTTGCCCACACCTTTGCAAGTCAATATGACCATCCTGCTGATATTGCTGACCTGCTGTTGCCCTCTTTCTCTGAGGATGAGGTGAGTGAGGTTGTTCAAAGCCTCCAACTTGATGCCAGTGATGCACAAGAGCTCAGGAGGACAAGATGCACAAATCAGCAGGAATATGAACTGGATCTTGCCACTGCAACACAAGGAATGTCACAGTATGCAGTGTCAAGACTTCGAAGTTCTGCTGCACATGATCTTTGAGAGGGTTTGTTCCAGGTGCTGTTCAGATCCACTGGGCACAATGAGGAAGACACTACTGCATTGTCTCAATGTCATGAGAGGACTACTGTGGACTACATTGCCATGACTCAAAGCACATCAGCTTGGAGACAGGAGCAAGTCTTGACACAACCATTCTCAATCTGACAGGCACTCTCTCTTCTTCTGTTCAATACAATTCTTCTCACCACCATATGAAACATTACATTGAGTGCATTGTGTGAAGAGGAAAGCAAGATATAAGCAAGCAATGGGTAATAGCGATGAGAGTGACAAGTAACATGACCACTGTTAGGTTATGTATTTTATTGGCCATATGATTTCATCATGTTTTTGGAAACCCACTTTTCCTTGGGGGGGGGGGGGTTCAAATTCCCTCCAAAAATGCGCTCTCGAAAAAACCCGTGTTTTTAAAATTGCAAAAACTTTGATACCCCCTCTTGTCAAGCATTGAGTATGAAAAATAGATCAAAGGAGAGTGGAAAAGTAACCAGATGCCCATCCTATGTCCCCTCTCCCACAGGGCCTAGGCGGGAGAAAATCACCGTTCGATCCATGTGAAGCTCAATCTGTTAGATTTGCAAACCGATCTAGAAAGATTTGTCTCTTATCGACGCTTATCGGGCGATGTCAGTCTTGTTGAGGAAACTACAATCAGGGCAGTCAAGCGAGCAGCAAAATCATTAGCATTCGAAAGGAAGCTAAGTACAAAGCAATAACAGAAGTATATATGCCCCTGCTGTTGGTTGATGTGTGCATGTATAGGGGAAAGTGACACATATGAGGGTGTGCCATTGTCAAGTGGGATAGGAGTGTTGGTGGGGAAATTCAAGCATTGGTGGGAGTTGACAAGTGGCAACACCAAGTGAAGTTTGTGGTCATGTTAGAGCATGAACACATGGTCATGTGATTTCACTGCCCCCCTTGCAAACTGAACAATCAAGGGGGTTGAGGTCCATCATACCAAGATGTTTCTGGGTGCACATTAGGAGGTGTTGGGACACCAGTTTTGTTAGGTAGTCCACATCATTGTAGTTGGTTTTAATGTATTGCATGACAATATCACCCTCCAGGACATGGTTTCAGATGAGATGATACTTGGTGTTGATGTGCTTGAGTCTTGAATGTAGCACCTGGTCCTTTGCAACTTGGATGCATCTGGTGTTGTCCATGAAGACAATTGGCATGTGGTCTCTGAAACCAAGCCCTTGTAGCAGATGCCAATGGAAGAGGACCTCACATGTAGCTGCCAATCCTGCCACATACTCCACTTTGACAGCCAAGTCCAAGACACATTTCTGGATGTGGGAACTCCAGGTCACCATACTGCCAAAAACCTTTACAATTGAGCCTGATGTGCTCCTCCTGTTTGTATTTGGGTTGGAGGCCCAGTTTGAGTCCATGTAGGCAGTGATGGGTGGCTTGTCTTCATTTTTGCTGCCAAGTCTCAGAACCTCATCTTGTGTTTGATTCAGGTATTTCACCACCTGCAGAGCCACTTGCATGGCCCTTTTGGTGGGTTTGGACATGTGGTGGGCCAGGGTGTTGACTGCATATGTGATGTCTGGCTGGATGGTGTTTGAGATCCATAAAAGTTTTCCCACCAGGACTGGGTACCTGGCCTTCAGTTTGTCATTGGTCTCCTCATTGTTGGGTGCCTTTGTCAGGGTGTGGACCATCAGTATCCATGTCTTCTCATGCAGCTGGATCCACTCCCTTACAATTTCCCTGATATAAGCATGCTGATCCAGGTCAATTGTCCTCCTCTCTCAATCCCACATGATCTTGATCTTGAGGAACTTGGTGGTGGGTCTGTTATTGGTGATCTTCCATTTGTCAATGATTGCCTTTTTTGTCTTGTTGATCTGGTTTTGTTGTGGGGATACAATGAGCATGTCATCCACATATACTGTGATGATCACTTGTGATGCACCCATACCCTTTAGATAGACACAGGGAATGTTGAGGAGAGGAAAGAAACCCAGCTGATGTAGATGTGCATCAAGCACCTTGTTCCACTCTCAACTGGATTGCTTCAGGCCATATAGACTTTTGACAAGCTTGTACACCTTCCCCACCAGGACTTCTGCACCCTCTGGTGGCTTCAAATAAATGTCATGATGTAGGTCAGTGTTGAGGTAGGCTTGTGTAACATCCACAGAATCTATTTCCCAGTTGAACTTTGCTGCGATTGTGAGAATGGTCCTGATTGCATCCCTGGGCACCACTGGGGTGAAGATTTTGTCGAAATCAATCCCCTCCCTCTGAGAGAAACCACATGCACAGAATCTAGCCTTGAACTTATATGGAACATTGCTTGTGTCAGTCTTGACCTGTAGGACGAGTTTGGAGTCCATGAGGTTTGTGTCTTTGGGCTGGTCCACAGTCTCCCAGATATGCATACTCTCAAGACCATCCATTTCTGCCTTGATCACCTCACACCAATGGATCTGATTGGGTCCAGTCAATGCTTCTTTCACTGATGGCTTTAGATTCATGACTGAGAGTGTATATACATTTGCATTGTATTCTGGAATGGGTCCAATGTTTGCTAGTTTGCCATGGCATCAGAGCTTCTCCTGGAACTGGTGCATCTTGGCTGTGGGCAGGAACATTCTTGGGTAAATGCAGAGCAGTTTGGCAAGTGTTGTCAGATGTAGCCATGGGTACATCTTGCACATTGCAGCAAACTTGTTGTGGTAGTATTGTGCATTTTGTATTGATGAGTACTTGGAGAAAGCAGAGTCTTGAGCATGGCATGCAAGGTCTCTGATTGGGAGTGGTGAGGCTGGTGGCATTTCAGATCAGTATCCATTTTCCACTGAACCTTTGGACACCTGGTTTGAGGGCATGGTCAATGAGGTCGAACCAGGTTCCATGTCCGTCACATCGTCCGGGTGGTCGAGGGTGATGTCATAGAGGCTGCGCAGGAAGATCTGAAATGAGATATGAGGAGCCTTTTGTGCACAAAATTGGGAAACCAGCCAGATCATGGGTTTCCTGTTGTTCTCACCTGACAATGACTGTGTCGCATCTGTCTGGTTGATTCTGCTGAAATCAATCAGAATATGACTATCCAGTTGATTTCACCAATCACACCACAAGAAGCAGCCACCAGCACAGAATGAGCCACTGGACTACAAGGAGACAATGGGAGATTTGGTAGGGAAGATCTCCTTTGTCAAGGGGGAGGTCAGGACAGTGGGAAAGGTTTCACATGAGAGGAGAAGGTCCAAGCTCAGCCAAGAGAAGGACCGAGCTCAAGAGCAAGCAGCAGGTTACCACAGGGGGGATGTGCTCTTGATTGCATAACCCAGTCACAAGGTAGACTGCATGGACAGGAGTGGAACAATACAGATGGTCACAAGGTCAAGGAGAGCCATCAGATAGGGGCCAAAGGAATGGCCACAGATTTGGAGGAGAGGGGGATGGGCTGAAAGGACCAACATTGGTACCATGAGGAGGATGGGCAACGTCGAGGGGAATGGCACACGAGGAGAAGGAGGAGGACGAGGACACTCCTCCAAGAGGAGCAGGAGCGGTGTGTAAGCGGTTGCGTGCCTGAAACCAGGTTGGGTGTTTCCAATTGGTATTGGTGGGATCAATTGAGTAAGATCTACTCAGTATGTTTCTACTAAATGTAACCAGATGGCTTCATATTGGTAGGTCTCAGCTGACCACCTTGAACACTCTGTTCAGAGGTTGCACAGCACATCCATTATTCTCTGGAGGGAGAGTAATACACTCTCCTTTACAGTATGAGTGTTCATAGTACTGTGCTAATGCTCTCTAACATCATCTGGACTGCAATATGCTTATTGCCTACAGAGGATGGGAGTTACTGGACTGCAGGTGTTGGACACCACCTTCAATAACTGACTGGACTGCAGATGTCAAGCAAACACTGCCTACAGTAAGGGACTGGACTGCAGGTGTTGAGGAACACCACCTACAGTAAGGAACTGGACCGCAGGTGTTGAGGAACACTGCCTACAGTTGATGCCTAATGGTGATACAACACACACATTTGAGGTGTCATTGCAAAGCTCTGCTAGTGCAATGATATGTAACTATGAGTCAAGTAAAGAGTATGTAAAGTATAGAGTAGAGTGGATGAGGATCCACTTGTATGCTATGGTAGAATGAGAGTATTTATGCATTCACTTGGTGTCACCTGCAACACCCCTCCTACTCCTCCTGAGAGGCCTTCGCCTCCTCTTGACACTGTCTCTCCTGCTGGTGTCAATCCCTTTGATGCTGCACCTCTACTGCTCACACAGCATATTGGTTTGTGCAATACTGCCCCTTTGCCTCCATGCTCTTCTTTGCCTGGTGATGTGTGTTGACCCCTTTGACACAGCTCCTCCTCCTCATAGACAATCCCCAGTCTGCTTGACACAGCTCCTTCTCTCTTCACTGGCAACTACCTTCTCAAGCTTATCTTGTGAATCCCTTAACCACCTGTCAAGTCCTGTTGCCAAGCCCCCTTGACCATGTGGTTGCCCCTGTGCTCAGTCCAATGTGGCTGTATGCATGTACCCCTTGAGTGGTAACCATCCACATGATGCTGAACTCGGTCCCCACTCCTGCATGTGGTTATCTCATGTATGCTTCTCCTTCTAATGCCAGTATCCTCCTTCCTGAATCTCCTGATGCTTGCTCATGATGGCCAACTTGCTGAGACATGCTGATCAGGCTGATTCTGATTGATCCTTGTGAGATTAACCAGGATCCCAGAGTTTGGTTGATCTCACAAGTCATATGTGCTACCAACCTGATTAGATTGTCAATTCCCAATGATTGCTGCAGATCAATTTGGCACACACTTCATATGCTGATCTGCTGACCCTGTGACACGGTGCCGTGGATGACACCCTCCGAACACATAAATACTACTACTTCACCATAGCATATGAGTGGATCTTCATCCACTCTACTCTTTACCTTATTTACCCTTACTTAGTTACATACCATTGCAATAGCAAGAAGCTTCTGCAATGACATCTTGAATGTGTGTGTAGCATCACCATCAGACATCAGCACTGTAGGTGGTGTTCCTCTCAAACACCTGCAGTCCAGTCCATCACTGTAGGCAGTGTTGCTCAACACCTGCAGTCCAGTCAGTTATTGTAGGCAGTGTCTAACACCTGCAGTCCAATAACTCCCATCTTCTGTAGGCGATAGGCATATTGCAGTCCAGGTGACAACAAGAGCATAAGCAACAGTACTACAAACACTCATTCTGTATAAGAGAGTGTACACACTCTCCCCAGGAAGTAATGGATGTGCCAAGCAACCTCTTAATGGAGTGTTCAAGGCAGTCAGCCAAAACCTACCAGAACAAAGCTGTCTGGTTATTTTCAATCAAAACATACCAAGTAGTTCTTACTCAATTGATCTCACCAAAATCAATTGGAAACACCCAATCTGGTTTCAGGCGTGCGACCGCTTACAGGTGATATCTGCCGGTTCAGGGGGTGGTGTTTCTCCCCTGGAAAATGTATCTTGCTCCAGTGTTGGGCAGTAGATGTCATCCAAGGGTTGTTGGAGTTCTTTGTCATGTGTGTTGACATCATCATAGCTAAGGTCTGCAGTGTCATCCCCAGGGCTATAGTGCAGGGCATCCATGTCTTGGATCTGGGTCATGTCCATGCAGTCATTCCATGACCTGTTTTGCAGGAAACATGCTGAGTTGGACCAAAAGACTGGCAGGTTATGTTTGGAAATAGAAACTTCCATCCCTTGTGTTCCTCATCATATCTGACAAAGATTGCTGGGTTGGCTGGTTCATCCAGCTTCTTGCACTTTGCCCTGGGAATGTTGACCCATGTGAGGCAACTGAAGGTCCAGAGCATGTTGAATGGTTTGCAGGGATCCTTCCTGTAGAAAACATGGTATGGGACCCAGTTTTTGACATTTGGCAGAAGGTTTTTCATGCATGTGGCAGCCTCAGCAGCAAAAGGCCAGAATGTCTGTGACAGGTGATGTGTGTGCATCATGGTGATCATCATCTCCCTGATTGTTCTGATCATGCACTCAGCCTTACCATTTTGTTCACTGGTGTATGGTGATGTCTTTTGCCACCAGAAACCAGCATTGTTCTGCCAACTGATAGCTGCTGCCAAGACTCATTCACCCCCATTGTCTGAGCGAAGGGTTTTGAGCTTATGGCCCATCTGTACCTCAGCATATTGAATCCACTCTTTCAAGGCTTGCAGTGCATCTGATTTCATCTGGAGTGGTTTCATGTATGTAAAACTAGAGGTGTTGTCAATTGCAACTAGCAAGCATGTGACCTCAGTCTTCATTGACCAGTGCATAGCCAGATCAATGTGTATCAATTCTAGAGGGTCTTTAGCATGTGTACCACTCCTGCATCCCATCTGGGCTTTGGTTGACTTGCCAACCACACAGTCCTGGCTTTCACCATCCATGATTTTAACTTTGTAGATCTTCTCAATGAGTCTTGTTTTGTTTTGGCCTGGGTGGCCACATTGTTTGTGCATGAAATCTGGGGTGAATTCATGTTTGCTTGCTTTTGCATCATTGTCAAAACACTCAGGCAAATCCAACAACCCATCATTGGGGCCAATCACTAGGGCCTCATGCCAAGATTGTGGGATTTCATAGTGCCTTGCCTGAGGGTTGAGTTTGCTGACAACCATTTTGTTGGCTGACAGCTCTATAGTTACATATTTGGAGTTGAATGTCACACATGCACCATTGTTTGTTAATGCCTTTACTGAGATCAGGTTCACATTGTCATGGGCCTAGGTGCGCAGAACGAGGAAAGACCGAAATCCATATGAAGGTAGCACAGGAATCATGGAATCGGGTAGATTGGAGGAGCTGTGACAAAGTTCACCGAGATCAGTAGTAGAATCAGCTCTATGGCAGATCACAGCGAAATTGGCACGAGCATCGTCGATATCACGAATCCCACCAGAACCTGCAGCAAGCAAGATCGTGTGGCAGATTCTGTGGGGATCAGTAGTAAGGATGTCTGTATGATGATTCACATGTGAGAGGGACCGAGCTCAGCAACATGCGGTCAGTTACCACTCAGGGGCCCACAGGACAGGAGTAGAAGAGAACCGTCGCCAGTCAAAGGAAGGAGATCTGTGTATGGGACACCAGCGAAAGGGACATGAAGAGGAGGAGCAGTGTCGATGAAGTCAACACAGCTCAGGAAAGACAGGAGGGACAAGGCTTGAAACAGAGAAGGTGCCTCCTTGGAGTTCCCTGTGCAGTACTTGACGAGGAGGGTACCCTCTGGAGAGAGGGAGCAGGGGCAGTGTCACTGGTGACGCTGTGAAGAGGTATATAGTCCTACCTCCTCGTCACAAATGGTCAAGTGGAGGCTCATCCACTCTACACTCATCAACTGTACTAGTATTACTTCAAGCAATAAGTATCATTAGTACACAGTCAGCATAGAAGTAATCAACAGATTGCTCCTCAACAAAGTGCATGTGTTGTATCACCATTTCCTGGTGTCCGAAGGTGGTTTGTAGCAACCAGCAGTCCAGATAACAATAGAACTGAAGGCAGATGTCCACTGCGGCCCGGGGATCACTTCAAGCATTAGCTGACACACTGGACACTCATGTCAGCATCATCAACCCATACTCACACCAGACCATTGGTGTCAACATCAAGCTCATTTAGAGTCATATCGTAGTCTGATCGTGCCAAGCTACCTCTGGATGGAGTGTCCACAGCGGTTAGTCAAAATCTGTCACAACGATAATACAACTACAGATTCTAGCAAGAAAGGTGACAGAGAAGGCTCTGTCACATATTTCACTAAGAATCGAAATACCATTAGCGCTGTCACATAATTCGACAGAATCGGTGATAGTACTGATACTACTACTGTTCTCAGGTTTCAGGCGCGCGACCGCTGACACACATTAGAGTCTGGGACATAAAGTATATTGTCTAGTAGTACTTTATGGCCATTCACTTTGAGCATGGCCTGACCCACAGCCACAATGTGAATCTTTGTTCCACTAGCAGTTTTCACAAAGCCAGTGCAGGGGAGGGATGAACTAAGATTTGATTTATCATTCATGACATGATCTTTGCCCTGGAGTCTACAATCCAGTTATTTGGTTGTTGATCCAGGGAGACATGGTGGGTGGAAGCAATGGTACACCACATATCCTATGCAGTCATCTGGGTTGAGGCAGGGGCCATGGCAGTCATGTCTCCTTGGGTCTTTCTTGGGCAGTACCTGGAGATGTGGTTCTCTGCATTGCAATGATAGCAACATTGGTCACCATCAGGTCCAGGTTTACCCCATTGCTAAGCCTCCTCATTCTTTACTTCTCTGTCAGCCAGATTTGCCTGAGCAGACTTGAGGTTGCCAGTCCTGTGGTCCATTTGGGCAGTCATGCTGTCCTGTCATTTGAAGAGTGCAGCACAAAGCACTTTGTAATTTGATGCCATTCCAGTGTCCTCGAGCATGGTGATGCAATGATGATATGAGGTGATATACCTGGCCTGATCAATAAGTGTCTTGACTTTGAGGATCTTGGGAAGGGCATGACCCATAGACTTGGCTTTGGCCCAATGTTTGTTGATATCAACAATGAGCTTCTGGATGTTTGCTTGGAACATACAGATTCTCCTGACTTCATTGAGCAGGGTTGACTTGGCAATCTTTTCCATCTTTGTGAGGTCTGTCATGAGCCTGTGGTAAAGGTCATGTAGTTTCCAGGGTTCCAAGTTGGTGGGTCATATGGAAAGGTAATTGACATTGTCATTTCTGGTGAGTAGGGCACTACTTTGAAGGATAGTGCAGAGTTTGCCATCCAGGGTGCAGTTGTATTTCTTGTGTTCAATGGTCATGGTGCTGTTGAGGTGCTTCATTGCCACAGGCCAGTTGGACAGGATGCCTCTGAAGCAGGGGTTCCAGGTGTACCAGTTTTTGGTTGTGAGCTTGGGGGCTTCTTTTAGGGCATCATGGGTGCAAGAGAGTCGTTGGTGGAAATCGGAGCGGCGGGAGGGTTTCTTGTATGCTGTCAGAGGTCATGCGCCCAAAACCTGATATCTGTAATAGAAATGCATCTATTACAAATCCTGTTGAGATATGTGGTAATGTGTGGTGTATTACAATTTCTATCAAGGTATGTCATAGAGAAGCCTCTATGACTTTTCTTGCCCAAAGATGTAATAGTTGTTTTGCTATTGCAGGTTTCGACTGACTGCTGTAGACACTCCATCCAGAGGTAGCTTGGCACAATCAATAATGTGTATGAACTTATATTGACACCAAGGTCTGGTGTGAGTGATAGGATTGGTAGCACTGACACAAGTGTCCAGTGTGTTGACTGAGTGTGTCAGGGGTCTCGCGCCTGAAACCCAGGTCGGTCTGTCGAGATACTCGGTGACTATCAAACTGTGCGACAGCTATTGTCTCGAGATACTCGGTGACTATCAAGTTGTGCAGTGACAGCAGGTGGCGTTTGTTGTATATACTATCGTAGGTTTCGGCTGACCTCTGTGGACACTCCGTTCAGGGGTAGCTCGGCACGATCAATATCAGTGTTATGATGACACCAAGGTCTGGTGTGGGTGTTGATGATGATGAGGTTGATGGTGTTGGTGATGAGATTGGTGATGTCGATGATAATGAGGTTGATGGTGTTGATGATAAGATTGGTGATGTCAATGATAATGAGGTTGATGGTGTTGATGATAAGATTGGTGATGTCAATGATAATGAGGTTGATGGTGTTGGTGATAAGGTTGGTGGCGTCAACACGAGTGTCCAGTGTGTTGACTTGATGCTTTGAAGTGATCCCCGGACCGCAGTGGACTACTGCCTTCGGTTCTATCTATATCCGGACCGCTAACCTGCTATGGGCGCCTTCGGACGTCAGGTAGTGGTGATACAACACACACACTACGATGAGGAGCAACCTTGATAGATTGCTGCTATGCTGACTGTAACTAATGAGTACTTGTGTTTCTAAAGTATTGACTAGTTGTATGGTGAGTAGAGTGGATGGGGATCCACTCGACCTATGATGATGAGAAAGCATGGTTATATACCTCTTCACAGCATTGCCAGCGATGCTGCTCCTGCTCTCTCTCCAGAGAGTACCTTCTTCATCGAGTACTGCTCAGGGGCCTCTCCTGCTTGGCACCCCTGTGCCTCTTGAGTGGTGTCGACTCCTTCGACACTGCTCCTCCTCCTCATGACCTGTGTCGACTCCTTCGACACTGCTCCTCCTCCTCATGACCTGTGTCGACTTCCTGTCTCTCGAGCCCCTGAGTGGTAACCATCTGAGCTTGGTCCTCCTCGTGGCTGCGCCTGCTCTTTGAGCTTGGTCCTCCTCGTGGCTGTGCCTGGTCCTCCTCGCATATGGGCTCAGTGCTCCTTTGCATGTGAATCCATAGGAGTCCATGGTCTCCATGGAGACTGCACTACGACCATGCTCTCTACTGGTATCAACTAGGTCTTCGATACCTGTGCTCCGTCCATATGAACCAGTGACCCTCCTGCTTCTTGAGCATCCAGGCCCATGACAGAGTGCTTGAGGTGATCCCCAGACCACAGTGGATGACTGCCTTCAGTTCTATCATTATCTGGACTGCTGGTCACTAAGAACTGCCTTCAGATGTCAGTGAGTGGTGATACAACACATGTGCTACAATGGAAGCAATCTACTTGTGATTGCAACTTTGCTGACTGAAACTAATGTATACTTATGCTGAAGTGATAACTAGTTCTGTATGGTGTAGAGTGGATGGGGATCCACTCAACAGCTACAATGAGGAGGGAGGTTATATACCATCCTTGCAATGTCATCTATGACACTGCCTTCACTCTGACATGCCTCTTCCAACACTGCTCCTCCTCTTCTCTGTCTCTCCTATCCATCCTGCAATGCTGCTCATCAGCACTGTGTCTCTTGCTGCCCATGGATGGGCAGCCCTCGCATCGTTTCATCAATGTCAGGGGCCATTCCTACCTCACCTGAGCACAGTTCGCACCCCTCCTCATTCCCCCATCTACCCACTTGGGTTCATTCCCAGGCAGGTCCCCTGCTTCATTGGTGGCAGACCCAGATGTCTTTGCCACCCATCCATGGTGTCGATGTCTGTCTCGTGATGAGACCCGTGAGATCGGCGCCCCCCTTGCAGGATCAAGATACAGCCTTCCATTACAGCACAAGTGTTTGTAGTGCTGTTGCTTGCTTGATGGTTGTAAGCGGTCGCGCGCCTGAAACCAAATTGGTTGCTTCCGGTTGATTTCGGTGAGATCAACTGAGTAAGCCTTATTCATTATGTTTCAGGTGAGAGTAACCAGACAGATGAGTTCTGGTAGGTTTCGGCTGACTGCCTTGAACACCCCATTCAGAGGCTATGCAGCACATCCATAACACATTGAGGTGAGAGTGATAACAGACACAACTCTCCTAATACAACATGAGTGTTTGTAGTGCTGCTGTTTGATGCTCTTGTGTCATCTGGACCACAATAAGACTTATTGCCTACAGATGACAGGAGGTACTGGACCACAAGTGTGTTGGCACTGCCTACAGTAACTGACTGGACCACAGATGTTGAGCAGCACCACCTACAGTGCTGAACTGGACTGCAGGTGTTGAGGAACACTGCCTACAGTTGACACCCAATGGTGATACAACACACATGTTTGAGATGTTGTTGCAAAGCTATGCTATTGCAATGATATGAGTCAAGTAAAGAGTAGTAAGATAAAGAGTAGAGTGGATGAGGATCCACTCATATGCTATGGTGAAGTGGTAGTATTTATGTGTTCAGAGGGTGTTGTCCATGGCACCACTCCTGCTCCTCTTGGAGAGTGTTCCTGTCCTCCTCCTGTCTCCCCCTCTCTCTTGAGCTGTGTGTTGACCTCCTCAACACTGCCCATCCTCCTCATGGTTCCCATGTCAGTCCCCTTGGTCTGTCTCCCTCTCCTCTCAATCCATGGCTGTTCTCTTGGCCCCTATTTGGTGGCCCTCCCTGACCATGTGACCATCCTTATTGTCCTACCCCTGTCCACTCTATCTACCTTGTGACTGGCCCTATGCAATCAAGAGCACATCCCCCCTGTGTGGTAACCTACTGCATGCTCCTGAGCTCAGTCCTCTTCTTGGCTGAACTTGGGCCCTCTCTCTGCATGTGACACCTTTCCTGGCATCTTCTCTCTGCCTTCAACAATGGGGCCTTCTCTACCAAGCCTCCCATTGCTTCCTTGTATTCTGTTGATCCATTCTGTACCAATGGGGGCTTCTTGCAGCATGTTTGGTGAAATCAATCTGATGAGTGTATTCTGCTTGATTTCAATGAAACCAACCAGAAAACCTTGATGCTGTTGGTTTCCCTGAAATCAACTGGGAACTTGCATTATGGTTGATCTTGCATGTTTGTGTGTTTTTAGGCACACTTCACCTTCATTGTGGATCTTCCTGCGCAGACCCGATCTTCTGCACAGGTCCTATGACAAGTGGATGAGTATCCACTTGTTTGCTATGATGAAGTGAGAGTATTTATATGTTTGTACAGTGTTGCTTGTGACACTGCTCCTGCTCCCCCTGAGGATTGTTTCCTACCTCTTCGTCACTGCTCCCCTTCTCCTGGAGATGCGTGTCAACCTCTTCAACACTGCTCCTCCTCCTCATGGCCAATATGCCAGTCTCCTTGACACAGCCCTCTTTCTTCCTAACCTGTGACCATTCTTCTGACCCCTATCTTGTGAATCCCCTGTGTGATCGACCTTATTGTCCTGCTCCCCACCCCTGTGGTCTCCCTTGTGGCTAGCTCCATGTGATTGTGAGCACGTCCCCCTGTGTGGTAACCAACTGTGTGCTTCTGAGCTTGGTCCCCTTCTTTGCTGAGCTCTGTCCTGTTCCTTGCATGTGAAACCCTTCTGGCTGTCTTATCCTCCCCCTCAACAATGGAGACCTTCTCTTCCAACTCACCTGTCCCTTCCTTGTGTACATTAGACCTGTTACACATTGTAGGGATCTTCTTACAGTGTGTTTGGTGAAATCAACCAGATGGATGTATTCTGATTGATTTCAGCAAAATCAATTGGAAACTTGCAATGTGGTTGTTTTCAGTGAAATCAACTGGAAACCCATGATTTGGTTGATTTCGCATTTTGTGTGCACAAGACACCCCATGTCTCATTTCGGGTCTTCTGCGCAGACCCTATGACATTTCCCCCCATTTGGTCTGTCACCTGACGATTGCCCGACCAATTCTGTACTCTGACTCTTGACCCCCACTGACATGACCTCTCCTTCGCTGCCCTCTACAGTGTCCAGGATGGCCCACTCATCCCCCGCAGCATCTCTTGGCACAATGTCGGTTCTTCCTGAGCCAGTCATGTTGGCCCCATCCCAGTCAAGACCACTCTCTGCTGTGTAGGTGGCTCAACACTCGGCCAGCAGGCTGGGAACCTTTGAGCCAGCGAGCCACCTTGCTGACCAGCAATCTAACATTGTTTCTGTATGGTCCGACTGATCCTCACTTGTGCGGCCGTGCGAGTCAAGCTGGGATTATTATTATTATTTGATGTTGGCGTGTGCGTGTGAGAGCGGTGCAGATTCCGGATATCGGAAATCGGAAATCGGATTTCGGATTTCGGAAATCGGATTTCGGATTTCGGATTTTGCAACTCGACACTTTATGCTTGCTCTTGGACACTTGCTTCTTCTCTCTTTCGACAAGTTCACCTTTGTTCACCATCAACCAGCTCCATCACCTCGACAAGAAACACGCAAGCTCACGAACGGCTTGAACCGCCTATCTAAGGCTCCAGGCAGCCCTGCACGCTTGCTTTTGATCGTATTCGAACTCACGAATTTGCTCCACTTAGTCGTCGAGCCTCTTCCGAACACAAAACGGTCTTAACCGCCATCGTCGTGCTTTCTAAGCTTTCTACCTTGGGGAAGAGCCAAAAATCACATCTGATCGCTCTGGTTGCCGGACAGAGCGAGATTGCTTGGTGAAAATGGATCTGCTGACGCAGCTGGACACTTCTCTCGACCTTCTTCTCCGAATAATGTCGTCTTCTATCGCATACATCTCTCGCAAAGCTGAGCACATCCCACTGCCCTCATCTTCGGTGCCTCTTACCGTGCTCGGAAAGACAGAAGCTATTAACCGCGTAGAAATGGACGATGCTATTGCCGAACTTGTCTCGGATCTCGTTGATAAAGCGCAGAGTATACGGGATATTATACAGCATCTTCCAACGAAACAGTCGCTGGGGGGAGATCAAGAGTTGGAGACACATTTGAAGCGCTTGCAAGAGGAGATGAGCGATGCGAATCAAGAGTATAGACAAGTGACGCTTGACGTTGACCACTTGAGAGCCGAGGTGGAGGCGCTGTGTAGGGTGTTGGCTGAGGAACGGGGGGTGGGGAGAGGTGCGCTTGTGAGAGAATTGGAGGGGAGAGCGGGCGACGAGTCAGGGGGGCCATAGAGACGCAATAGGTTTCGCGGGTTTGTAGTCTATCAACTTTGACTGTATTTGTATCGTCTTACAGCATCACACTCGGTCAATTGAGAGAATCTCTCTTGCATTGCTATACCATAGTAAAGAGAGGCAGGCCTATCGTCGTTCACCATCACCAATCAACCATCCAACACCACGACTTAAACTAAAACCACCCATCCCTCCTCCTCCCCCTCCTACCCCTCCTGCCCCTCCTGCCCCTCCTGCCCCAGCTTCGTCTTCGGGATGCTTCTCACTCTTCCATCCCAGAAAATCTCTCGCAGCCCTTGCAGCTCTAACTGCTGTTTCGGTTGGATCCACATAGCCACCCGCACTTGCACTCGCACTCGCACTGGCGGCCTGTCCGCCTTCACCTCTCCTGGATCGATCTGCGTAGCTGTGTTGGGTAGAGGCAGCAGAAACAGGAACAAAATCGAACAACTTTGCCGTTCTTTCATCCACTTGTCCCCTCCCTACTCCTCCACCTTGTGATGGGGTGTTGTCATTGAAGTAGCTCAACGGACTGAAAGATAGCGGGAGAAGGTTTGCCGCACTTCCAACCAATCCTCCTGCACCGAGCAGGTCTGCGACTCCTCCGATTGATCTTGTTGCACTCAATCCAGCTCCAGTTGCAAGCCCAGCAGTTGCCTTTCGAGTCGAGCCGAATTGTTTCCCGCCTTCCACCTCTGTTGTGAGTTGTGAATCTAGGTCTCGCCACATCCTCAGCATTCCCCCCAACTGCTCTGGGGGAGCGAGGCAAAGTGCGTGGCCTAGCATTGTGAGTCGTTGCGGTGTATCTTCCCATCCAGGATGTTTGGATAGTTGGAAACAACTCTTCCAGGTCAACTCCACCACGGCCCGGTTGCAGCGAGGTTTGGTGGCCGATTGAATAAGACGCAGGCAGAGGGTGGAGGATTGATCAAAGTCCTCAGAGGCTGTTGCTGCGTCGGAGAGCATTGCTAGTACTCTCGCCTCTATAAGACTCTTATCCGACTTGCCGGAAGAAGTGGTCGAGGAAGGATCCAGGGAGGATAATCGATGAGCCAAATCAAGCACCAGCTCCGGAGACCGATGCGCATCCCCTTGACTACCCAACAATCTAGCCACCAATTCCACCTTATCTTTCGTCTCTCTAATCTCTTTCGGAGTGATACTCTCCCCTGGGTGAGCGATCGATTTGATCTTGAAACTGGACAATCGACACGCAGCTTCAATGAACTCCCTCTGCGATTTTGCACGTGTCGAGCTTGAGGAAAGAGCGGAGAGAACTTCCAGAGACAACCTGATATCTTTGGTTCTTGTTGATGCGGCGTTTGCTCGGTCGAATAGTTGGGTTGATATTTCCAGTACCAAATCCTCAACCTCCTCCGCGGGTAGGGTCGGGGTTGAGGAGGTGGAGAGAGTAGAGAAGAGAGTTACGTCTCCAGTGCGAAGGATAGTGGAGAGAAGGAGATGGGTAGCGTCGTGCTGCGGGATAAGCGCGAATGCTGAGGAAGGAGAGCACAAGTCGAGGAGTTGATGAAAGAAAGCATCCCAACTTGCTCGGAACTTGAGCAAGTCTCGATTCACCGCTCCACCTTCACCTGGTCTTCCGCCCAGAGAAGAAGGCGGTGTGTGAGCGGAGTTGAACTTTTCCACTAGCTCTGATAGTTTCGACCTTTGTTTGGGTTCTACTTCTGCACCTGATGCGCCTGCGTAAGCAGCCAACCAGCACATATCTAGCTCCGGCTTGGTATGTAAGCCTTCAACCAAAGCAGAAATCGATCGTAGCCGAGTGAGGTGCATATCCATCTGCCCAAGCAGCGAGGCAGAGGGATTGCTGCGAAGCAGGCTGAGCAGTTGGCACGCAGGAACGATGCACTTCTCGTCCATATCGAGTGCTCCGCGCAGGGCTAGTTGCAATTGTGAGTTCGCATCGTTGGTCTTCGTGTTACCGACCTGGCCCAGCACTTCCTTAGCCTGTTTCAGAAGCGCAGCTGGGATATTAAGATCCAGCTTGAAAGCGCCAACCGCAGGTCTAGCATACAACACAGCAGCAACAAGACTTGCCAGTTGGCCAGTCGATCCGCTTTGAGCAGCTTCATATATGGTAGTGAGAGCGAATGCACGAACGTTTGCACTGTCGTTCGTATCGATCACTTGAACAAGTCTGTTGCCGATCGAATCGGCATCGTTTGCTGTGGAGAGGATTTGCTTTGCGAGCTGTTTTTGAGCTTCTCTGTTCGAGCCGGCGGTGGAGATTTGCATTGCAAGAGACTGCACTGAGTCCAGGTCGAAGCGTAGAGAGCTCGTAGTGGTGGTCTTGATGGCCTGCCCGTCGTAATGATTGGTGATGGCGGCTGCAGTTCGGAGCTCAGCGATGGATTGCTCTGCATCTGCTCCCTTCCACCCCTTCGCAAGCAGGTCCAGCAGGGCATCCCTGTCGGTATCTGGCTTGGCTTGATCGCGCATCGTCATCAACACTCCTCTGTAGAACTCTACCAGCTCGCTCAACGGCAGTGGCTTACACCCTTTCACCGAGCTCCACGCACTTGCCTCTTTCCCATTCTTCCATCCGATCAGTAGCCCCGAGCCAACAAGCGAATCATACCCACCACTTGCACCAACGGTCAACAACTGCCCCAAAATCGCCAACCTCGACCCTTGCGATTCCTCCACCAACCACGGCAAGCTCGCCAACAACGGCCCAACCAACTCGGCACCTTGCGGCAGCGATGCTAGACACAACAACACCGTACTCGCCTCCTCCTCCAGCACAAGTCGCAACGGCAGTGTTGGCAATCCCATCATCCCAGACAACCCTGGCAAACGCTGGAACATCGACAATCGCTTCGACAATCGCTCGAAGTTGTCCAAGGCTTCTTGCACCATCTTCTTGGGCAAAGCCTGTGCATTCTGCTCCTTGGAGAATTGGAGAAGGGGTGTAGCAATTGAGTGTATTGCCAGCTGCAAGAGTTGTTGTCCGAGCTGCTCTACTCGCGACATTTCTTCCACATCACCCTCAGAATCCGGGGTTTCGGGGAAGAGAACAGCCTGAATCGCAAATCGAAAAGCGTTGAGCAGCCATTGTCGATCCTTGATGGTTCGACAGAGTGTTTGTGCGTGTTGAGAGATTTCTTCCACCAGCTGATCGCGTGAGATTGTGCCGAAACCTTGCTGCTGAACAGAGGAGGAGTGCCATGCATCGATGAGTTGGATCCATCGACGTTGGAGTTGGCGGTCGGTCGAGCTAGGTTTTGACTTTCGAGTGGGTTGGGGTGTGGTTGTGCTCAGAGCGGCTGTTGGAGGTGGGGCAGGGGCGGACATCGCTGATATACGAGGTCGATAGCAAAAGGAAGGCTCCAAGTCGAGGCTTAGGATTCGCGTTGGCTGCGAAGAGTTGCCAAGCAGATAGCAAGTGATCTCGGCCTCGTGATAGCCGCCACAATTAGCCTGAAGAGGTAGCCTGAAGAGCGAAAAGTGAGAATCGTACTATCGAATGTTGATGTCAAGTAGATGAACAAGAAGAACAAGAAGAACAAGAAGAACAAGAAGAACAAGAAGACGAGTTGCAGTTGGTCCGTGCGCAGTTATTTTACCTCCCGTCTGGGACTCTATCGCACGAAATAAAACCATAAAGTATAACCTAACACCGCGAAACTAAGTGGATTGCAGGCAAAGACCCTTGAGCTCCTCGAAGCTCGACAAGCAGTGGTCGAGCGCAGAAACGAGCAGCAAGGGAGGCTACGCCTGGCTTTGGTGGAGATGATGGTAGTGAAGAGAGCAGCGGAGAAAGGGAACAATTCGATGCTCAAGGTAACGATCCAATATGATCATGTTGGTTGATGTAAGCAGATACGAAAGAGATCGGGTACAACCTAGTCCCCCTCGTTGTCAGACTTGGTCATTAAGGAGGATACACCCACATTCGGCATGTGCCACCCAGTTGTATATATATCGCGCTGATCCTTCTAGGCTCTCACCATGTTCAATCAGTCAATTGAGTATATGTGTTTCTCTCCTAAACAGCAGGGATCACCATTGCCACTCATCAGCTCATCACCCACCAACACTCTGTCAGCAGTCGCATGCCTGAAACCTGAGATCAGTAGTAGTACCAGTACTATCACCGATCCTGTCAAGTTATGTGACAGTGCTAATGGTATTTCGATTCCTAGTGAAATATGCAACAGAGTCATCTCTGCTGCTTTTCTTGTTGGAATCTGTAGTTGTATAGATGTTATGACAGATTTTGACTGACCACTGTGGACACTCTGTCCAGAGGTAGCTCAGCACAATCAAACTACAATATGACTCTAAGTGAACTTGATGTTGACACCAATGGTCTGGTGTGAGTATGGATTGATGATGCTGACATGAGTGTCCAGTGTGTCGACTAATGCTTGAAGTGATCCCCAGGCTGCAGTGGACAACTGCCTTCAGTTCTATTGTTATCTGGACCACTGGTTTGCTGCGAACCACCTTTGGACGTCAGGAAACAGTGATACAACACACACACTTTGATGAGGAGCAATCTATTGATTACTACTATGCTGACTGTGAACTAATGATACTTATTTGCTTGAAGTAATACTAGTTTGTTTTGGTGAGTAGAGTGGATAAGGATCCACTTGACCATTTGTGACAAGAGGGTATGACTATATATCTCTTCGCAGTGTTGCCAGTGACACTGCTCCTGCTCTCTCTCTCCAGAGAGTACCCTCTTCATCGAGTACTGTACAGGGATCTCCAAGGAGGCCCCTCCTCCATATCGAACCTTGTCCCTCCTGTCTTTCCTGAGCTGTGTTGACTTCATCAACACTGCTCCTCCTCTTCATGTCCCTTTTGCCAGTGTCCTATACACAGATCTCCTTCCTTTGACTGGCAACAGTTCTCTTCTACTCCTGTCCTGTGGGCCCCTGAGTGGTAACTGACCACATGTCACTGAGCTCGGTCCCTCTCACATGTGAATCGTCATATGGACATCCTTACTACCGATCTCTGCAGAATCTGCCACACGATCTCACTTGCTGCAGATTCTGGTGGGATTTGTGATATCGACGATGCTCATGCCGATTTCGCTGTGGTCTGCCATAGAGCTGATTCTACTGCTGATCTTGGTGAACTCTGTCACAGCTCCTATGATCTACCCAATTCCACGATTCCTGCACTACCTTCATATGAACTTCAGTCTTTCCTCGTTCTGCACACCCAGGCCCATGACATTACCCCCCTCTTAAGAGCTGAGCTCCATCGAGGCATGTCCTGTGCCATGTTTGGACCATACCACCATCTCTTCACCATCCAATCCCATCCCAATGTCACCGTATCTCACTTGCTCCAAGACTGCCACCGTTGCACCTCCTGCTGAGGTGGCAACGACATCCTCTCATCATCATCAGGCAGTATTATGGCTACACCCCTGCGAGGATCCTGCCACAGAGGCGAATCCTCCTGCCCCTTCGGTCTCGGCCCAAGTGGCCAACCCCCTTGCTCCTCCAGTGGTTCATTCGCCACTGGAGCCCCTTTTCTTGGGGATGGATGATGACATCATCGTCCCCAGCCCCCTCCCCTCTCCTTTCCTCGCTCCTGTTGTTCCCAACCCCATGGGGAATGACTTCTCTCCCACTTCCCCCATGGTTGACCTATACAAGGTTGATGCTAGACATTCTGCCATAGAGATGACCACTCTGGAATGTCAAGCAGCTTGGGAGGTGGAGTTGGCCAGGTCCCCAACTCCCCCTCCTACCGCTGATGAGGTTGTTGATGTGGTCCTGGCTGCTTCCAGAGCAGGGACCCCAGTCTACAGGCCAGAGGTACAACCTCTGACCCCTCCTCCTCATTGGGTTGGGTGTCAAACACCCCCCCCCTCCTCCAGATCAACATCTCCCTTCTAATCAGGAGATTGCTGGTTGGGCTGAAGGGTTCGTCATGGCCGACCTCCTGATGTGAGTCGCAGATGGACACTATCCACGTGACTGGGATGTGCCCATTGGGTCATTGGCAGCGAAGTGTCTTCATCGACTGGTAATGCTTTGCCTCATGGAAGGTTGCATGCCTTGGCCGAGTTGGCAGTGTCATTGCTGCTTCAACCTGGGCATACTGTAAGTAGTATTTCCTGACCTTCCTGTTCGATTCTTGACAGCTACTGACCTTTCTAGCCCTCTCTTTCTTAGTTGTTTCGCCTCTGCATTCACCAATCCATTTGGTGAGCAAACTAGGATTCCTCATGCCTGCATGCACTGCTACTTGGCTGGGTTGGGACATTGCAAGCACAATATCCCTGCTCATCCAGGTATGGATTACACCAGTGATGGGACTCCATTGCTCCAGCCCCATGGTTCCCACCAAGCAGAGTGGGCCCATCTGACCATGGTGGATGGATATGGTCTGGGCTTGGTTCATTCTGAGGAATGAACCACCGATCCAGTGATGACCTGCAGCTGGGTGACAGCCATGCAGGTCATTTGGCACTTTTGTCGGCCTGAGCTGGTAAGTTCCATCCTTCGCATGCTCCAGTTATATGTCGAGCATCATGACTGACTGTACTTGGAGCATCAGCCTCATGAGTCTGTGACGGAGTCTGGTGGTCCCCCAGACTTCCTTCACGAGTGGGTGGCTCCTACCGAGGAGGAGCTAGTGATCTGGTCCTCCCTTGCTCCTCCTCCTGCTCCTTCTTCATATGTTGACATGTAGCAACATGTCTCCTTCTGCAATGTTGATCCTTCTTGATCCTAAAATGAGTCTGTGGCCTGACTCTTGTGTTGTTGCTTATGAGCCTGGCTGTTGAGTGCCATGCTCTTGAAACACTTCTCATATGGTGAGAGTAGTATTTTGGGTCCTCTCCCTGAAATCTGCCATACCACCAGTACTGTGACAGATTTCCATGTAGTTTGTAATAGTGCCTCTACTCTCACATTTTTTGCTCAAATCGGTTCTAACTACCTTCTTACCGATTTCTCCTTCTCCTCATGCTTGTTAGCCTTGTCCCCCTGCCAAAACCTCATACTCCTGGATGAGGTCAGGACAGTTGAGATTCAACAATGGTTCCCAAGAAGCAGCCTCCTCTGGGTACCCCCTCCAAAGCACTTTGTATTCTGTCGTCCCATCATGTGAATGCTTGCCAACAATCACTTCAACTTCAAAGTCAAGGTCTTCATCTGGCAGTGATGGTATGATTGGCTGTGTCAATTGTTGTGGAATGGAACTGTTCTTTGCTGGTTCAAGCAAAGACACATGAAACACATTGTGAACTCTGAGGTTTGCTGGCAATGTGATTCTATAGGCTTGTTGGCCCACCCTTTCTTGTACTGGATAAGGTCCTGCGAACCTGGTGTCCAGCTTTGGTGTGGGTTGCCTGGTCTTCCAATTCTTGCAATTGATGTAGACCATGTCACCAACCTTGAATTCTATGTCCTTGTGTCTCCAGTTATAATGATTGACCATATGATGCTGTGCCTCCCTGATCTGTTCTTGAAGGTACTTGCAGCACTCTTTACCATCGAGCAAGTACTCAGAGCATTCGGGATCATTCACTCCTAGGTGTTGAGGAATGTCAGGATGGGCTTTCGGGTTCCATCCATAACATGCAAAGAATGGTGACACACCAATGCTATTGTGTATGGTATTGTTGTACACAAATGCTGCAGTGTCAAGCAGGTCGGCCCAGTCATTCTGTTCATAGTTGCAATACATATGAAGGTACTTGTCAGGGGTCTCGCGCCTGAAACCCAGGTCGGTCTGTCGAGATACTCGGTGACTATCAAACTGTGCGACAGCTATTGTCTCGAGATACTCGGTGACTATCAAGTTGTGCAGTGACAGCAGGTGGCGTTTGTTGTATATACTATCGTAGGTTTCGGCTGACCTCTGTGGACACTCCGTTCAGGGGTAGCTCGGCACGATCAATATCAATGTTATGATGACACCAAGGTCTGGTGTGAGTGTTGATGATGAAGAGGTTGATGGTGTTGGTGATGAGATTGGTGATGTCGATGATAATGAGGTTGATGGTGTTGGTGATAAGGTTGGTGGCGTCAACACGAGTGTCCAGTGTGTTGACTTGATGCTTGAAGTGATCCCCGGACCGCAGTGGACTACTGCCTTCGGTTCTATCTATATCCGGACCGCTAACCTGCTATGGGCGCCTTCGGACGTCAGGTAGTGGTGATACAACACACACACTATGATGAGGAGCAACCTTGATAGATTGCTGCTATGCTGACTGAAACTAATGTATACTTATGCTGAAGTGATAACTAGTTATGGTGAGTAGAGTGGATGAGGATCCACTCGACCTATTGATGAGAAAGCATGGTTATATACCTCTTCTCAGCATCGCCAGCGATGCTGCTCCTGCTCTCTCTCCAGAGAGTACCTTCTTCATCGAGTACTGCTCAGGGGCCTCTCCTGCTTGGCACCCCTGTGCCTCTTGTCGACACTGCTCCTCCTCCTCATGACCTGGTGTCGACTCCTTCGACACTGCTCCTCCTCCTTTGATCAGTGACAGTTCCTTTGGCTCTTGTCTCTCGAGCCCCTGAGTGGTAACCATCTGCATGCTCCTTGAGCTTGGTCCTCTTCGTGGCTGTGCCTGCTCCTTGAGCTTGGTCCTCCTCGTGGCTGTGCCTGCTCCTTGAGCTTGGTCCTCCTCGTGGCTGTGCTTGGCCCTCCTTGCATATGGGCTCGGTCCTCCTTTGCATGTGAGTCCATAGGAGTCCATGGTCTCCATGGAGACTGCACTACGACCATGCTCTCTACTGGTGTCGACTAGGTCTTCGATACCTGTGCTCCTTCCATATGAACCCATGACCCTCCTGCTTCTTGAGCATCCAGGCCCATGACAGTACTGTTCTACTACTTGGTTGACTCTTTCTGTTTGCCCATCTGTTTGAGGGTGATAAGCAGTGCTGAGCGAATGTTTCACACCCATTTGATCTGCAAATGCCTTCCATGCTCCAGAGATGAATTGCCTGCCTCAGTCTGAGACCATGTGATCTGGGTAACTGAAGTGTCTAACCAGATAACACCATAGCAACACAGCCATCTGTTTTGCCATGACCATTTTGTGTGTAGGAGCCAGAATCACATACTTAGTTAATCGATCGATGATAACCAAGATTGAGTCATACCCTTTTGAGATTGGCAATCCTTCAATAAAATCCAAGGATATAGAACCCCATGGCCTGTCCAGAGTGGTGAGTGGCTGCAGCAAGCCATATGGGCAATGGTGAGGAGCCTTGTATCTGGCACACACATGGCAACTTGCAACATAATCAGCGATCCAGGCTGACATGTTTGGCCACCAATAGTGTTGTTGGGCTGACTTAATGGTAGCATCTTGTCCCACATGTCCAGCTGTGATGCCATCATGACATTGAGACATGACCATGAATTGCAAGTGTTCTACAGACAACAACTGTCCATCAACTTCTTTGGCACTTCGCAAACGACGATCATTGGTCTTCCCTGGTGTCATGGGCCTGGATGCTCAAGAAGCAGGAGGGTCACTGGTTCATATGGAAGGAGCACAGGTATCGAAGATCTAGTCGATACCAGTAGAGAGCATGGTCGTAGTGCAGTCTCCATGGAGACCATGGACTCCTACAGACTCACATGCAAAGGAGGGCCAAGCACAGCCACGAGGAGGACCAAGCTCAAGGAGCAGGCACAGCCACGAAGAGGACCAAGCTCAAGGAGCATGCAGATGGTTACCACTCAGGGGCTCGAGAGACAAGAGCCAAAGGAACTGTCACTGATCAAAGGAGAAGGAGCAGTGTCGAAGGAGTCGACACCAGGTCATGAGGAGGAGGAGCAGTGTCAAAGGAGTCGACATCATTCAGGAGGCACAGGGGTGCCAAAGAGCAGTGTCGAAGGAGTCGACACCAGGTCATGAGGAGGAGGAGCAGTGTCGAAGGAGTCGACACAGCTCAAGAGGCACAGGGGTGCCAAGCAGGAGAGGCCCCTGAACAGTACTCGATGAAGAAGGTACTCTCTGGAGAGAGAGCAGGACCAGCATCGCTGGCGATGCTGTGAAGAGGTATATAACCATGCTTTCTCATCATCATAGGTCAAGTGGATCCTCATCCACTCTACTCACCATAACTAGTTATCACTTCAGCATAAGTATATATTAGTTTCAGTCAGCATAGCAGCAATCTATCAAGGTTGCTCCTCATCATAGTGTGTGTGTTGTATCACCGCTACCTGACGTCCGAAGGCGCCCATAGCAGGTTAGCGGTCTGGATATAGATAGAACCGAAGGCAGTAGTCCACTGCAGTCTGGGGATCACTTCAAGCATCAAGTCAACACACTGGACACTTGTGTTGATGCCACCAACCTTATCACCAACACCATCAACCTCATTATCATCAACACCCACCAACCTTATCACCAACGTCATCAACCTCATCATCATCAACACTCACACCAGACCTTGGTGTCATCATAACTGAAGCATTGATATTGATCATGCCGAGCTACCCCTGAACGGAGTGTCCACAGAGGTCAGCCGAAACCTACGATAGTATATACAATGAATGCCACCTGCTGTAACTGCACAACTTGATAGTCACTGATACCGAGACAATAGCTGTCGCACAGTTTGATAGTCACCGAGTATCTCGACAGACCGACCTGGGTTTCAGGCGCGAGACCCCTGACACCTGGCATCGTTACCTTGGGGATAACCAACTGTCCACCACTATACCATAAGTCATCTCTGATCTCAAATGGCTTCCTTAGATGAATCTCCTGAAGCTTGGGTTCCAGAGGCTGGAAGATTCTGGCCAGATCTTTGATTCCTTTTGTGGCTATAGACTCCATCATGAGGATGGGAGCCACTAATATGGAATTGTCACCTGAGCATGCAGTTAGAACCGATTCTGCTGAAATTGGCAATATCATGCTTGCTATTACATTTTCTGCTGAAATCTGCTGCAACTCACTTCCTGTCACGATTTCGTTTTCGACTTGTTCAAACACCCAGGAAGGCAATAGTTGCCGAATGTTGTGTGTCAGGGGTCTCGCGCCTGAAACCCAGGTCGGTCTGTCGAGATACTCGGTGACTATCAAACTGTGCGACAGCTATTGTCTCAGTATCAGTCTCAATGAGTTAGTTGCTTCGGCGACTATCAAGTTGCACGATGACAGCAGGTGGTGTTCATTGTATATACTATC